GACATGTTGGGTATATGGGGAGGGTTTTTTGCCACTGTTACTGTTACGCTACGAGGATTTACCTGTGCAACATCCTATCTGAGGACATATCCTAGGACCAACCATGCAAGCTGGCTCTGGCCATCCGAATCTGAGGATGATGAACACTGAGTTTCTTAACGCTGGATCTCACGGACTGACTCTGGACTTCTTGTCCGTCGCAGTCCGTGTTCAGCTGCGGGGCACATGGCTTGAAGGTTATATTGTAAATAGCTTCAATCGACTGAGAATCAAAATGTCGAATAATATCCAACTTCTCTGGGTCAAAAAAGATTGTACTCTGCTGATTCATAACAGGGTTTTGAATTTTGGAATCCTCCTTGACCTCGCCGTCGCTCTGAGGGTCACGTGGCGAATGCACGTGGCCGAGGGCGAACTTTCCAGATGGGCCTTGTAGCATGGAAGTGGCAAGAAGGGGAAATCTGTCTTCCTCCCCCCATTTCACACCCTTCCAGACCTCTTCCCATCCATCCATCGCCGATCAGTCGAGGATATCTCCCTCCGACCATTCAGCTGGGAGAGAGGGGCTTGTGGCCGCCCTCTCCCGCGGTTCTATTCCTGACGACATCATGTTTTTACCATTCAGCGCAGCCTGCGAGGCAGCCTTCGCCCCGACTGTGCCGCTGGGGTGGCTCACTAATGCAAGCCCCTTCTGTTCCAGCCTTCGTCTTTGACAGCGCATGCGTCAGCCTCTCGGCTTTGCTAGGATGCATTGGCTGCCTTATTCCTCCTCGTTGCCCCGCTTTGTCGACCCTTCGATGACTTTCTTTGGCAGGATCCTCACCCACCTGCGGGCTCACGGTTGGTCAGGCTGGCAAATCTTCAAGACTTTTGCCACTGACTACTGCAAGGTAGGCTGCAACCTTCACCTGCGTCTTCAATCCAGATGAACCTTGGTATCCTCCGCTCCTACGAATGATAGAACAAGATTTTGGGGTCTCCGGCTTCAATGGGGTGGCACGAGGGATCCCGTCCACCCTATTACCTGGAGAAAGGATATCCATGTCCGAACTTGAGGGCGAAACCGACCAGATTTACATGAGACTAACCCAAGGATATCGGAGAAATAGCCCCTCCCCTCCTGTGCCGCGCACACTGAGCACCACCGAAACCTACCGCTAAGAATATGACCACCCATCAGAGTCGAAAGTGTCCCTCCATCATGGGCGACTTATGCAGGAGCTTTGACGTTCGCTACCCTCCAGCGATCGACCCTTGGAACTTTGAGAACGACGATGGGCTCCAGACCGGTTTGCTAGGCGTAGTTTTGGGCACGGATGAGGGTTGTTCTCAGTCCTGGCTGAAAAGCAGGAGGCTTTCGATACCCAAGAACGACTCCTGCAGCCTTCCAGACAAAGGATTAGTTGGACCAAGGAGTGCGAGGAGGGGCAGCGGCGGAGCAATAACCACACAGTCCCACGATGCTGATTGACCAGCGAGCGCCCACACGAGGGGTCAACAGCCCTTCCAAGTACCTCCGATGCTTGTACAGACAGTTCAGTAACTCAGTACCCCTCTCCCTATCCCGCTTTGACAGGTTGGGCATTGTGTCACCGATAAGCCTTGATCCAATCCTGTCGACGATGCTGAGTTCTACGTCAGCCCCATGATTGTGCGCCTGCACCACCTCGATGGGAGCCACGATGTTTCAAACAAGAGAAAAACTGGGGCCGAGTTGTTGAAAGTCACAATATACCTACTGTTCGGATGCTGACCGTGGCAGTGACCGAAGTCAGCAGAGAAACAAGAAGCCAGGAGTCCCGTACCTTGAACCTGGAGAGCAAGCCCATGTCCTGGCAGGCCTGAGACGGCCGACAAAAAGCCACCGAAGGACTAGGTACTACTCTGGAGGGCCAAAGTCACTTGGGCACAATCGTTCTTGACGCCGTCCTCAGCCTCAGCGACGAGCCAGTGGCTTTCGCGAGGCCATGTGCTTTTCAAAGCGAGCTTCCTTTGTTGGAAAGGTCCATTTTCTCGAACAAACTCGGGGACCTTTGGCAGACTGTTCTTGGATTTGACTTCCACCCAATTGAGATGTCAGACTCTTCCGAAGCGAGCCGTGCTACAAACAACTCGGCGATCTGTTAGGGGTATAGATCGTTTGCGAATTGTGCCCACTCACGTCGCTTTGCGTCCGGAATGCCTGGCACGCTCAATTCTAATGACAATGTCTACTGTTCGAGCGGCTGTTCAGGTTCGCAAGCACGTTGAATAGCCCAGGAGCCACCAGATACAGTTGGCATCCTCACTCTTCGCCACTCAGTCAGCTGGAGTGTATCGCATGAAGGGGTGGCATCACCAGGCTTGATCACCTAGTCTATGAAGCCGAGCACTGCTCGACGACGACGCCAGTACTAAATCGGAGCGTCCATCTAGATGCCTTCTGTTGCCGCCATGATGGTTCTACATGGTCTCCTGACCATCCGTCATTTGAAAAGGTAAGAGTCAATTGATCGAAGCAGCATCTCTGCGGTTGGTTGAAAGACAATGTCAAGTCATACCATATATGGCTAGTTTAATTCCTGGAGCTGAAAAGGAACTGCAGATGTGTGCTCCCAAATCTTGGTGTCGATAGCCCCAGCCTGGAGTACAGTCATCATTCATTCAGCGAAGGCAGCACCCAGGCTTTGTCGGTGATGGGTGAAAAGGCCCATTCCTTTACGGATAGGTTTCCGCGAATGGTTTCCGGAGAAGCGGAACCCGCGACCAACTCTCACTCACGTACCCCTCGAGTTTCTTTTGCCAACTTGGTCTGGATGCTCGTGAATACGACATGTCCCTGAAGGCAGAACCCCCCACCGATTAGCAACGAACCACACCACTCAGGCATCAAGGTACTAGGGCCGCAGCCCAAGCAACCTCTTGAGCCACGAAGCAAAGCCTCAGCCCAACTAGCGACAAGCACATGGCGAAAATGCCGCATACAAAGTCAAGAATGGGTTGTACTCTGATGGTTTCGTGGCGATGGGTGAATTCCCCTGAGGCATGCACCGCGACTTATCCGCCAGAACACGCGCCCTCCTGCTGCGTTCGCCTTGTTCAGCGAAGCGCTATCTACCATGATCAAGATGATTGCTCTGTGGACGTCCAGGCTTGGGTCGGTGGATCAGGGGCCGAGTCTATTGCGAATTGTCACTCTCCCTCTTGTAGACAAGGAAGGTACTGGAAAAAGATATAGGCGAGAGGCATAGATCACATGACCCATCCGAAGATTTGGGAATATTGTTGGGACATGTGCCGGTAGGGTGGAAAATCCCAGTCAAGTTGAGGTTGGTATTGAGGAAGGCAGGGTGAGCCGCCGCATGCAAAGGGTATGTTGTCCACGCTGACTGGAGATTGCACGATTGATCGAGTCTAACACCTGGACGCCTCCCTCGGTGTCGACATTGGATTCCAACCAGACACAAAAATGGATGCTCAATGGATGTGTCGTCAGAGCCATCAAACAGGCCAGCCCACACGGTCGGCGGTATCTCAGAACACCTACATCAGCTGCCGAGTAAAGACGTTGAGGTAAAGACAATACTCCAGGTCCAGGCTGTACGCCAACGTCAGCCTCGTGAAAAGAAGGCCAAGCGATCTACTGATCAGAAACGCTGCTCTCATATCATCTTCGTCTAGTCTCAGCCTTGTCGATCTTAGAGGAAAAGGAAATCATGGCGTGGTTCCCATCTTGCTGTCTATTTTTGGCTGATCTTGCTGTGGACGGTGGATCTGGGGACACTTGGACAAGATCCTGACCAGGCATCAACGCTTCTCGGGAAGAGCCATTTGTGCCATTCCAAGAAAGCAGACCGAGGGGATATCAATCTACTCGAAATGATATCATCATGAGAAGAGACCGGAGATTCTTGCCACTTGGTCTCTTACCTCGGGATGCTCCAGCACTGATCCGGCTGAGGTGAGAAACCAAAGGCACTCGTGATGCTCATTGCTGAGTACCTCATACGTCGGCAGCTTGGTCTGGGGAAGTCAGATTGACGCCACATCTGGTCCGTGCCACAGGCGAGACTGCGCCTCGAACTCAGTCGCAAATAGTAGCTTAACCAGGTCTAGCGGCCGCGTGGGATTCGAGGAGGTACCTGTACCGAGTGCCGTGTACTCGCTACCAAGTATCTCCTTGCAACTAATGGTCATTGTGGGCAGCAGTTCCTCTTCCTCTCGAATAATTGATCCACTGTTACATTCGCATCGCTCTTCGTCCTCAGCTGTTCAGTCTCTCTTTGAATCTTTTCTCAGGTCATGCTTTTTCTGTCCAAATACAAGATGATAACGGGAAAGAAAGACCAAGTCCGACGTTGACAAAGTGATCGTGGCTGAGCCAAGTCACTCCCAAGACTCACTATTACGCGTCGCACTCCGCGGCGGTTGCTTCCCTCGTCTCGCAACCCTTGCCCAGCAATAATGGCAGACACAGAGTGAAACTTCCACTATATGGAATCCCTTTCTTCATGATTATTCTTGGTCTAGAGTGACCCCAGATCCTCTTCACTTGTTCACAGCTGCTCTCTGTGCGTGCAGACCCTTTCGTTTGCCCTCAGTGCGTAGGTGTATATCACTGATTAGCTTCGCATCACCCAAAAAGCAAAAATTCTCTCCGCACCTTGGAGTGACTGCAGGCACTTCTCCCTCGGCTCTTCTAAGCAGCCAAAGCCCAGCAAGTAGCAGATCAAATCTTTTGTTGTTGGTCAAAGCACCAACCGCGTTCATTCAAATCCTTCATACCAGTCCTTCAAAGCGAACAAATCGCCTTTGCCCCAAAGATTCGAATCTGACATATCCGCTCCGCCGCCTATCTGTCAACGAACCGAGCTCCAGATTAACGCGCCCTATCGAACTTTTTCGTCCTTTCTCGAGTCCCCCAGGCAAGCCAGTTAAGCGAGCACTACAACCACCACCCATCCAACACTAGCGAACGAAATTTCAAGGTATTAAGAAAGAAAGAAAAACAGATCAGAACCATGGCCGACAAATTCGACCCCCCTGCATACCCTCCTCCTGCGCAGTACGCGGCCCCCAACCACAGCCAAACGGGCTTCCAATCGCCGCCGCCCCAGATGGCCTACGATCCCAACTACCAACAACAACAAATGTACGATCCCAACCGCGGCGCGAACCAGGGTTATTACGGTGGTGGACCCCCGCCGCAGGGCTACTATGGCGGACCTGGCTACGGACCACCGCAAGGCTGGAACGGCCAACAGCCCCCACCGCAGGTGGTTTATGAGCGGGATCGAGGCGGCTCTGGCCCGGGTATCTGTACTGGGTTATTGGCCGGGTTGGCGTGTTGTTGCTGTTTGGACGCTTTGTTTTAAACAAGAAATAAAGAATAACGAGATTCCTTTTCTCTTGATGTGTGAAGGGGGCGGATACGTTAGGAGAGAAGCAAAGGAAGGGGGGAGGAAGCTGGGTGCTGGGATTATTAATATGAGTTTTTCGGTTTCCCCTACAAATGGGTGATTGTGGGAGTGGGAATGGTTCGTGGTGTTTGAAATGGGATTGTTGCATAGCGTAGCGATGCGGATTCGGGGACAACGGGGCCCTTTACTTGACTCCATCACAAGTACAAGGTACAGCTTATCGATTAGAATTGTTATATCTAATTCTTTCTATTGGATGGAATGGCCATCACAGTAGCCAGATTGTCACTTGTGACCAGATTCATTGTTCATGTCCTCTTCTCACATCACAGAACAAGTATTCGTCCCGCTCAGTCCACCACCCTCCTTTGTCGTCGTTTTCGCTGCGGTCCGGGTAATGTCTTCCAGGACCTCCCACATCAACTCGCCCGTCACGGCGCTGCACTCGGCGTAGCGATCACAATACATCTCTTGGGCGACGCGCAGCGCTTCCTGCGGCATGACGCACTCGTAGGACCCGTCCTCGCGCCTCTCCTCGGTGCGCTCGTCCCGCTTCAGGCCCAGCAGCATGACGGGCATGGTGTGCTCGAGGTCATGGTAGTGCAGGGACAGCTGGTGGCGCCAGTAGTGCTGCGCGTTGTACAGGGAGTCGCGGGACGAGATGGAGAAGGCGATGATGGCGAAGGCCGGGTTGGGGGGAAACGGGTCGATGAACAGCGGCGACGTCGACGGGTGGATGCGGAACTGGTACGGCCGACGATACAGGGTGACGTCGAAGGTCACCGGCCCGACCGGGGCGAAGACTCGCCTGTGCGGTGGCGCGGGCGGGTTGAGCTTGCCATCGCGGATGTGTTCCAGCTGTCTATCACGCCCCCCTCCACAATTTGAGCCTCGATGCCGGACATACAAGTACATACAAGCGATTGGAGCGATGGGGGAAAAGGGGGAGACGCAAAAAGGACCGCCTGGCCGAAGCAGAACTCGCACAGGGAACGAGGAGGACTTACGACAGGAAGGTGGCTTTGCCTACGCCGGGGCTGCCGAGGAAGAGAATGTCAACTTCCGGCACGGGTTGAGCCTCCTTGGGCACTTGCGCTGTCATGGCTGAGCTCTTTGATAGAGGGCGTATGCTCAGTCATCGCGACACCTCAAGGGCAGAAAGGGTTTTCGCGCCATGATATCGAGGATAGAAGTGCGTGCACCAGTAGTTCGGTGCTTGGAGGATTTGGACATGATAACAGCCTCGGCCAAGGGGAGCTAGACCAAGCCTTGACCAGCGCCACCAAAAGAAACGATGTGGGTGGAAAGGGTGTCGGTCTGACGAAATATTATTTGTTTCACGCTGGTGCATTGACACCATAGAGTATTAAAAATGGAAGTAATTGGTTCTTGTCAGACTGTGCTTATCTCAATCACCAGCCCGGAACGTGGCATGATACGTCATCGCGCTGGATGGCAGCCACCACAGCCACTGTCACCTTCCTTGACGCGTTTTCATCTCTCTTGAAACGGTGCCGCCTGCCTGCTGCGTTGTCTCAGGACCCGTCAAGTACCATTCCCTCATCCATACCCTTCCAATTTTATGCCAGTCACTCAACTGTCCCAGCTCAAAGCGGGTCAATTCGTCTCGATCGTCCTCAAAGCAGACCAAAGGACCGGGCGTCAGGTTCAAGGCACCGTCTCTCAACTGCTCACCCGCCACAATCACCCTCGAGGCATCAAGGTCAAGCTGACCGACGGCCGGGTCGGACGAGTCCAGCAAATTCTCACGCACGCACAACAACAACCACAAGCTCCATCACACGGCAGGATGTCGTCGAACAATCCCTGGGCAAGTGCCGAAAGCCAAGGGAATCCGTATACCGCCCCCACCGAGGAAGAGCAACAACAGCAACGCCAACAACAGAACCAAGGCGCCGCACAATCCTATTACCAGTCCCGTCCTCAGCAGGGCCAGACACAGCAGTTTCAGCAGCAATCGCACCAGCAGTCATTCACGCCCGCGCAAGGCATCAACCGTAGCGACACCGAACAGCTGTTGGCGCAGCAGAGCGATCGGGCCGAACAGGTCGAACACATGCAGCAGTATGAAGCGAATGCTCGGCAAACAGAGGACGACAGAATTCAAGCGCAATTGCAGCGAGAGTTCCCCAACATCGACAGCAGTCTGATAGCTGCCATCTACAACGAGAGGAAGGGACAGGGCGATCTGGGTGAGGTCAGGGAGTTGTTACAAGAATTGAATACCTCTTGAATTGAGGGACATGATCATTAAACTGAGCGCGGAAAGAAGACCATTGTCCTGGCTCCTCAATAATACGGATCAGTGAATCCGTTTGCACCAAAGAAGCAGAGAGGGCACACCGTGAAATCGAGGTTATGAGGGCTAGTGCTTCGCTCTAGACAGGGTCAACCTTGTTTTCGGTCTGCCCTCATTCATGCATCTCTGGTTCTCTTCTAGGGGCTCGAGTAAACTATGCAATTAACAGACATGCCTATTTCTTACGAGATATGTTTCACATTGATCGTGTGGGAGACTGTGCTCGAGCTGATAATGGATGTTTGCAAGTGCTATCACGGAAGTTACCTTGCAGCCAGCGTTGCCTCAACCCGCTCGACGATGTTGGCTGATCACTCTGGTGATGCTAGTGCAAATCTGATCTGCACCGAGTTCTCCGGTCTTTGGACCTTTCAATATGTTAGGGTCACAGGTTCTGTATCCCTGAAGATAGTATCCGGCAGTCAAGCATTTCCGCAGATCATATCATTGACCAAATGAACAGTATGGTGAGGTTCCCGAAGGTCGGTTCTTCGTCGGCCTGGATGTGCTGGCCTCGTCTAACAATAGATCCATGACTCTTGTGCCGCTCTGACGGAACATTTTGTTTGGCGGTCAAGGCTGTCTTCTTGCCGCCGCTTTGTGATGCTGAAACCCGACACGGTCAACTGTCAACTGTCAAGCCATGTTAGAAATGATGTCAGTGGTATCTCAACACACGCAGTAATCCCGTTGTCAGGCATTCTAGTCAGTTTGTGCGAGGTGGTTCGGAGACCGACTGTCTGACCCCCGATCAACCGTTGGTATAGGGCAGATACAGAGAGGATGCGTGAAGGCTTTCGGCGATTCAGATCCAACGTGGAAGGGATGGAGATCGCGATGACGTTGTCGATCGACCAATCGCGGTCGGCCATTCCTGCGCAGCCTTGCACAGGGTCATCATCCATGGCTTGAACACAGAAGATGTGAGGCAGCAGTGCGCTTCTCGTGTATATAAATACACCTCGATCTTTTGATTTTGGACTCTCAATCCACACAGATCCAAAGCTTTTCAACAAGAAACCCTCCTCCCTCCAGGAGTCCCTCTCCCGACAACCTATCAATCTACCAACTCAACCCAGACAATCATCCATCCAATCCACACCATACCATATCAACCCAAACCATTGAGATATCCAATGGCGCGCTCCTGCTCCCTCCTCAAAACCGAGCCCCATCGCCTCCTCTGCCTCGGCGCCCACCACGACATGGCTTTGAGATTGCAAACAAAACTCGCCCCCCACTTCACCTACTGCGCGATCCTGACCAAGATCGAGCCGAAGCGGACGTACTCGCTCGACAACTTCGCGCTGCTCCTCGACGCGCTCTACCCGCCACCCGAGGGCGTCATTGTCGGCGGCGGATTCAGTGATGAGGAGGCGGAGCAGATGCGCAGGGTGGTCGAGGAGCGCGGGGTCACGGACGAGAATGGCACGCCGGTCAGGTTGGTCAGGGTCCCCGGTGGGACGTTGGAGAGGGCAGGGCCGGAGGGGTTGGTGGAGACGATTAGACAGTTGCTCGGGGAGGCGTTTGGCGTTGAGTGGTGATTGATATACTGTCCTGTATACCGACGCACGTACCTAAACACCTGTGGTTTGAGCGGATGTGGAGATTGGTGCATACTGAGGTTCTTGGGGTTTCTTTTTTTTTGCCTCTGCAAATCACGAATGTATACCATTCTATGCCATCCCTTATCATACCATACCGGCGTTTTTCGATTCCAAGCTCTGAGAGGGGCGTGGGACGGATGTGAGAGTGCACGAAGCTGCGAGCGCAAAGCGGGACTGACGATGAAAGAAAAAAACGGAAGTTTCGTACGATTGTATACAGTGTTTCAAATATATTGCTAAAATGATGCTTGTTCATTGGGAAATGCGTGCCGTATCGCATGCACAGTTTGTATGAATATGAATGGTACTTGCTGTCCCCTACCTCAACATTCCAACGCGGCCGATTCAGTTCACTTCACTTTCGTTCTTTGCCGCCTCTAGAACTATCCTTCCCAGCTCAGATCACATATGTGTACGTATGTGTGTGTGTACGTATGTGTGTGTGTGTGTGTGTGTGTGTGTGTGTCCTCTTTAAGGTTGGCCTCTCAGTGACGGCGCTGGGCAAACGGACCGCCCTTTGCAGCCAAGTCGACGGCCCGCTTGGTGGCTTCGTCGAGGTCCTCCTTCGGCAGGCCCAAGAGGTCGTTGTGGAGGCCGTACTTGGACTCGAAGTCGCCGTCGCCGTTCGGGAAGAAGACGCGCGAGTACAGCATCTTCTGGAACCCCGCGCGGTCGCCCGTCTTCATCTCCTCGGTGCCGGCCTTGTACCGCGCCTCGACGTCCTCGTGCAGCACGGTCCAGTCGGCCTCGCGGTCGCCCGTGACGCGCAGCACCGACGCCAGCATGTCGCGCTGGCTGACCCGGAAGGAGGACACGTAGAGCACGTCGTTCCGGAATCGTGATAGTGTCGGGGAGCGGTCGTCAGCGTCCTCGGGCAGGACCTTCAAGCTCAATAGCGCCGCCGCGGCGCGCCCGCACTGCAGCCACGTGGTCGTGTTGATCTTGGTGTTGCCGTCCCCGTAGAGGGTGACGGTGCGGTTGGCAAAGTCGAAGCCGTAGCTCGCCGGGCCCGCCGACAGCGAGTACTCGTACCAGAAGCTGCAGGTGAAGCTGATCCAGGCGCTCACGCCCAGCTCCTCGATGCGCCGCCGCGCCGCGTCCTTGGCCGCCCCGATGAACGTCTCCTGCTGCAGCGCAGCGTTGCGCGGGTCGGTGCTGTACTCGTTGGGCAGGACCCAGGGAACCCCGGCCGCGGCGGCCGCTTCGATCAGCTTCGTCTCCGTCTCTGGCGGTGCCGTCACCGCCATCGTGATGATGAGCACGTCCTGGCCCCGCAGCGCGTCCACCAGCGTCGCCGGTTTCGCATAGTCGACCTTCTTCACCGCGATGCCCTCGGGCACAGTGCTTTGTGAGTCCGCCCGCGATATGGCAGTGAGTCGGTGCTTGCCTGTTTTAAGCAGTGCTCGCGCAATGTATTCGCCCACTTGACCTCCGGCCTGGTTTTTTGGTGGTTAGTATTTGTCGTCGGTGTCAAAGAACAAATCAATTTTATTCCACAACCCTTGGGGAAATGAAGGAGATGAGGGAGGAAGAGGAAAGAGTGAGGCGGCGGCTGCTTGTGACACTTACCCCGACGATGGCAATGTTTTCCACATGGTTCTTGTAGCCCGCTGGCTGGTCCTTTGCATACTGTTGTTGTGCCATGGCGCAAGGTCAGGGAAGAGGGATTCGTTTGTCAAAAAGGATTTGTGTTATCTTGTAAAGGAACTCAGGGTCTGAGAGCAATTCACACCCAGTATAGACTCGACCAGGGCCAAAAAGGTGCGCTTTGAGCAATGACAGAGATCAAAATGCTCGATTGACTGGAGAATTATTGTTTCTGGCGTTCACTTGTCTGTGCTTGGGGAGCAAGACCCAACCTGCACATTGCGATGCGGCGGTATATATGTACTTTAGACATGTTATACCTCTCACTGTATACCCGTTCAGCATAGAGTGACAAATCCCCGCATACGGAAATCAAACCTTCCCGACAGTCTCCTGGCTGGCCTGGTCTCGGACCTTGGGTCTCTATATCCGACCACAACATTGCCAAACTGGGCAACGGACAAAAAGGTAAAACATGCGATATACTTTGCTCCGCACATGTCGAGTATTGTACGAACCAAAGAGGACCAATCGAGGCCGTCGTTCCGTCATGAGCCGGCAAAAGAGGTATAGCGACTTGCTGTCCACCAATGGTTCAGCGTGAACACCAGGCGGATACGAGTGGTTGTTAGTCGTAAATCTAGGGCGAGGTCGGAGTGAAAAGAAGCCGACTTTCTCGGTGACTTTTTGTAAGGGCCCCATCACCCCATACTGTGCTTCAGAAATATACCTCGTACATGTTGTACATGTCCCAGGTTGGTAACTCCGTACGATCTCAGACTGGTAACTGTTTATCAAACGCTCGTACTTGGTCTCCTGATTCTGACTTGGGGCTCGGGCGGATTGGCGCAACTCGGTCGAAACTTTCGGCTTTAACAACGATACATCACTGCTTCTTGCCAGGGGCCTCAGCCTCGCCATATCCACCTGGTCGAATTCCCCAAAGGTTTCATTTTCGTGCGCTCGTTACCAGGACTATCGTCATAATCTCATTGCGCCGGCGTCATGACCCAGTCGCATTGCGTGAGGATTGCCGGACAAATGCCATGCAGGGTATCAGGCATAACAGACTCAGGAAGATACTCGCCACCTGCCGCGAACCGGAAGATTAACTTGTGCCGGTCTTCAGCTATTTCCTTGGAGTAGCTCCACTCGCGATTACGACGCATTCTTTTGGGGACTCACAGCATGTTCCAGAATACCTCATTGGATCACTTGTTCAGTATGCTTGAGGGGATCACCGTCACTGTCGCCGATTGAACGAAGGATTCGCAAAGTGGGGTGATAGTATCATGATCTGCCTGCTGCGAGAGTCTCATTGCTAGGAACTTGTGTGTCTGATTGCCTCTAATGAAGGATGTGATGGCAGCATCTTTGAATGGAAGCGATGAATCTCGATAGTAGTGCCAAGTCTCGGAAAAATGTTACTCCGAAAGACACACTCTCTTCCCCTCTTCCACCTGACTCTGGCAAGTCCGGCTCACCACAACAGAATATCAAAGGAGCAAAGTCTTTGCTTGGGTGAAAACTCTGGGATGGCCTGAGCTGGCTTCTTCGGCCACCGAGTCTGTCTGTAATAGAAGCGACAAGCTCGTTTGCTTGCCTCGGAACGACCTTTCAAGGCGTGCAGCCCATTTAAGAGCATCGACTGTTTTCAGGCCCGACAAGTATGATAGCAGCGGACCACCAGTCGCATCATATTCTTTGCGAATACGAGCGCCCCCGAAGCGGCAACCAAGGGGAAATGGGCGGTAAGTGATGGGCCGCAACCCAGCCTATAACTAATATTTACTGCTGCCTAGCTTTACACCATGGACAGCCCCCGAAGCATTGAACAATCTGGGGGATTTATTGTGTTTTCAAGGTATCGGCTTCCGTCGTGGATAAAATTCAAGTGCTCAGGTTGACCCATATCCCCTGATTCTTCATTTATGGCTTTCGAACTGAAAACAGCACACTCGAGGGATGGCACCAAGATTGCCTTCTATCAGATCGGCCAGGGGCCGGGAATCATAATTCTCCATGGCGCGATGCAGCACGGCCTCAGCCACATGGACCTTGCAAAAGGTCTGTCGGATAGATTCACTTGCTGTCTCCCCGACCGACGAGGACGGGGGAAGTCCGGTCCAACCGGGAAGAACTACTCGGTCCAGAAGGAAGTGGAAGACGTTGAAGCCATCCATCTGGTGACGGGTGCACAGTTCATTTTTGGCGTGAGCTCGGGGGCATTGATCACACTGAGAGCGACGCTGGCAGCGCCCCCGTCCCACATCCGACGGATCGCGGTGTATGAACCGCCCTGGCGGCCCGAGTCCGATCGAGAGGGAATGACGGCGTGGGTACAGAGATACGGGGCCGAGATCGAACGCGGTGAGCTTGCAAAAGCTGCCGTCACTGCAATGCTCGGCGCGGAGATGGGTCCAGGGATATTCCGTTCGAAATACTTCCCGCAAGGTGCTCTAGTTCTCCTGACGAAGGTCATGATGACATTGGAGCAAACGAGCAACAAGCCAAACAAGGAGGTGGCCGGCAGAGAGTATACGCAACCATCGGTCAAGGATCTAATCCCAACGTTCAGCAACGACATTGACATCGCAATGTCGATGCTCGGAGAAGAAACCCTCCAGAAGCTGGCGGCGATTCAAACAGAGACGCTCATCCTGGGTGGAAGCCGGAGCCAGGCGTATCTGAAGAACTCGGTTCGCGAGCTTGAAAAGACCCTCCCCAACGCGAGGCGCGTCGAGTTGGCAGGTGTCGATCACGGCGGGACGTTCAACAAAGCACAACATGGCAGCCCGGAAGTATTCACGACAGAGCTCCGTCGATTCTTTTCTCATGGCAATGGCGATGGTGTGTTAGAAGATGACACCTCACCACCATGAGCAGTTCTCCATCCAAGCGCTGACCTAGCTAGCATACCTCAGGAACCGAGGCTCGGGAGAACGAGGTCACCCCTTTTCTCCTCTCGAGGGAGGACGGCTTGTCTTTTGGCTCGTTTCACATGGTCGAGTTGGAGAAGTCGCAATGAGGATGGCGTTTAGGAGTGTGTTGCTTCTATCAAAGATGAATGTTACAGAAGATAATGCAATGAGTGTACATGGTTCTTGGCTTGGTTGCAATACTTGTATGGATTTCTGTGACCACGCTGCCACGTTGGATCCTGAGATTGTTATTGTACCCGGCTAAATAACCGGGCTCCCTTACTTGCTCTCACTTACTCTCGGGACTCGACTTCCACATCCTCACCTGTAGCCGAGCATCCAAATACGAACGCTCTTCCAGTGCCTGTCTGACTCGGCAAACAGCCCAAACCCCCCCTCACTCACCACCTACCTACGAGTAGTACGTACCGCAGTCTTTCTCCGCAAAGTCAAATATTCATGCGGGCAAGAGGTTGGGGGACTCCAAGGATAGAAAAGGTGGAGTAAGTAAAGTAAATAGATCAACACGTTGATATAAGACCTACCCTACCAATCGCACACGCACTGCAAGGCTATCCTTGGGCTTTTATCTTTGCAAGAAAGGCACGAAAAGTATTTGTCGTCGTCGTCGTCATCGAAAATCACCTATCAACCCAGTCAACTGTTCCTCAGAACTCAAGAGTATAGTATATGCGAGAGGAAAATGGGCCGACTCGACGGGAAGAGTATCATTGTCACGGGCGCGGGGGCTGGGTTTGGGCGAGCTGTAAGTACATAGCATGCATAGGACTTGCGATGCATTTGGTCGGGAATGCGAATGGGAATGAATGCCAGGTCGGTTGGTGGTGTGCGTGTCCACTTGGTCTCCCTTGAAGGACTCGAAAGGGGTTTGGTTATGATGTAGTAATATTCAAAAAGAAGATTGGATTAATCTGTGATCAAAGGGGAGCAGTGAATTTGTTTGTTTGGTATATCGGAACACAGTCCAGCATCTCTCTAACGCACATGTCTCGCTCCACAGATCGTCCAGAAGCTTACGGCCGAGGGCGCCTCCGTCCTGGCCGTCGATGTCAACGGCGCGGAGAACGAGAAAACAGTCGCATCGTGCTCCTCCAACCCCGGCAAAGTCCACGCCTTCACAGGGGACATCACAGTCGAGTCCTCGTGGCGTTCCATCCTCTCGGCAGCCCTCGAAACATACTCCAACCGTCTCGATGTGGTGGTCAATTGCGCAGGCGTAGTACACCTCCCCGCTCCGTCGCATGAAGTGGCCGAGGACGAATTCGACAGGATGTTTCGGGTGAACGTGAAACCGCTGTATTTGAGCACAAAGGTGGTGGTGCCTTGGTGGAAGGAGAATAAAATTCCTGGATCGTTTATCAATCTGAGCAGCATCAGTGACCCGCGTCCGAGACCCAATTTGGTGTGGTATGCTTCAAGCAAAGGAGCCGTTACAGTGGTGAGTACAGGAATCTCGTCTTCCCACCGAAATGTCAGTCATGGACGGGCCTTCCCCAGCTGACGAAACCCACCCAGGCAACGAAAGGTCTTGCAGCAGAGTACGCCGTCGACCAGATCAGGTATAACTGTATTCGACCAGCGGTGGGAGAGACAGCCATGTAATTTGTCCACACTTGTCCAGCTTGTGATTGACTTCTGACCCATTTCCCAGGCTTGCTCGAGCGCTTGGAGGGCAAGACACGCCCGAAGGGCGGCAAAAGATACTTGGAACGATCCCGCTCGGTCGCGTGTGTCAGCCAGCAGATATTGCAAATATGGTGTGTTTTCTGGCATCGGATGAGGCGAGCTATATCACGGGTGCAGCGTTTGACGTCGACGGGGGTAGAGGCGTGAGTTGAACGGATCCTGTTCAGCGCAATCTGCACAAGCGCCAATATATAAACAAGTTCAGTACATGATCGTACATGTGTTCCTTCCAACCGATACTTTACAAGCTGATCTCTCCTTTCCACATGGCGTCGTTGAGCCCAAGTTTCTCAACAACATTCTGCCACCTTGGCCCGCCTCGGTCTTGCCTTCTTAGGTAGGCCATCAACTTTTGTCTCTTGTGCACCATCATCCTCAATCGCCTCTTATTGCTCTTATCCTTTTTGTGCAGGTTGTTCGCGAGGACGTTTATCTTTGCCGTGAGGATCGCAATTTGCACTTCGGGAGACCCTGTATCTGTGCCGACCCGTTTCGGGACAATGACTGCACTTGCAGCAGTGCCTTCGCCTTCCTTGAGGATATTCTGCTTGCTCTGAAGTCCTGGCGCAAGAACTCCATCGGTGTTGTGACGCCCAAACTCTTCAATGCATCTTTGGACGTTGATGCGTGTGCGATCCTTGCTATTCGCATTATCTAGCGAGGCAATAGCCAGCAGAGCCTTGGAGGCATTCTCGTGGGAAGCGACATGCTCCTTGACCCTTTCAGCAAACCTCGCCTCAGCACCCACAATAGGGTTGGATTCGGGAAGAGGTTCACTGAGCCATTTGGAATATTCCAAAGATTTTTGCACATCTTCAGGTTTGAGGAAGTAGTTCAGGTAGGACTCTTTGATCGTCGAGATGGGAGCATTTGCCTGCAGAGAGTTGACAAACGGTGTCGGTCGTGATCGGACAGGGTCACCGAGGGCGAGCTCGCGTTCTTCTTGCAGGACTTTCTGTCGTGCCAAGTTTGCCGATTTGCGCTGCCGGGCCTGTGCCAGCCGATATGGATCGATATGTTTCCTGACTTTCCGTTTCCTTGTCCGCTTCGCTTCCAAAGGAGCTGTGGTTGAGAAGAGACAGGCAGAGCACTTTGTAAGGGCTTGATTCCGCGTGGTTGCGGGCAAACTTTGAAGGAGACTGGTCACTGCATGTCTGGTCAACACAATTGTCGAACAAGAGGGTAGTGGACTCACGATTAAAGATACTGCCTGTGGCAGTAGCGGGAATTCGGGGAGGCATAGCTACAGCGTTGAACCCGATGAGACTTCGACGCAGTCTGGTGTCCTCTTGTGCAGCACAGAACTTTCCCCAAGTCTTCAATCGAGCTTGGGAATTAGCCCGCCAAAAAGTATTTCCGATCCGATAGGGGCATGCTGTCGCATCCGGGAAGTGACCCGAAGAGAAATCTTGGCACGGATTAGCTAAACGCACATTGGAGATCATTGCTCGATCTTTTACCTGAACTTTCGAGATTCGCTGCTGGACTTCAACTCTCAACCCTCACATTCTTACTCCCTTCTTTCTCAAGCACTCGCCTTTTTGGCTGATCAAAGAACCTCAGTCGCAAACATGGCGAGCCCAGCGAACCTCCCCGCTATCTTCAACCCCACCTCCCAGGACATTGAAATGCTCCTCGCGGCACAATGTCACTTGGGCTCCAAGAACCTCCAGGTTCATATGGAACCTTACTTGTGGAAGACTCGTCCTGATGGCATCAACGTCATCAACATCTCCAAGACCTGGTATGAAATACACCCGTTCTGAACTGGCTTTCAGGGAGCTTCACAAACGCTGCGACTCTGGCGCAAAATCGCGCCTTACCCGAACTGAATTGACCCGATCGTCCCGCAGGGAGAAAATTGTCTTCGCAGCCCGCATCATCGCCGCTGTCGACAACCCAGCCGACATTTGTGTCATCTCTGCCCGTCCCTATGGCCAGCGCGCAGTCCTGAAGTTCGCCGCTCACACCGGAGCCGTCGCCATTGCCGGTCGTTTCACCCCCGGTAACTTCACCAACTACATCACCCGCTCGTTCAAGGAGCCTCGCTTGATCATTGTGACCGACCCGCGCACCGACGCCCAGGCCATCAAGGAAGCCTCGTACGTCAACATCCCGGTCATCGCCCTCTGCGACACCGACTCGCCCACCGAATTCGTCGACGTTGCCATCCCCACCAACAACAAGGGTCGTCATGCCATCGGCTTGATCTGGTGGATGCTGGCTCGTGAGGTGCTCCGTCTCCGCGGCACCCTGGCCAGCCGTGAAATCGAGTGGGATGTCGTCGTGGACTTGTACTTCTACCGTGACCCCGAAGCCGAGGAACAGAAGGAGGAGGAGAAGGCGCCGGGTGCGGACGAGGCTGGCACGGCTGTGGTCGAACGCGGATTCACAGACAATGCGGACTGGACTGGCGAGCCCGGCGCTGCGCCTGGTATCGAGGGTGCTCCTCAGGCTGATGCCAACTGGGCCGAGCCTGGCACTGGTACCGCCGACTGGGCCCAAGAGGCGACCGCCGGCGCCACCGGCTGGTAAACGTCTCTTGCTCGAGCAGACACTATGGCAGAGAAACCCGCTTGACAGCAGCTTCACTCTCTATCTGCAAGTCCGCCGCACCAACACAGTTCATCAGCACCTGAGTCTCACCCGCAACCACTACTCTGCTACCACCGCCGATATGTTCAAAAGTTTAGACAGACAGACAATTGACCCCGAACCCACACACCACACCCAACTCGCAAAGCAAAAGGCCAAAAGTCAACGGCACTCACGAGGGAAAGATACTCGACACCCTGAGGATCAGTTTGTTCGTCCTCGGTGTAGAGGGAAAGCCCTGTGCTGGAGATGAAGGGATTGTACTTGATAGTTGCCCAGCCTTTTTGTTTGTCCGAATGGATGGATGTGGCTTAAGCGAAAAACGACGCTGAAAGTACCTCAGCCGGTCTTTTTCGCGTTGAGAAAACAAAAACAAAATAGCTCAATTCCATCAATGTTGAGAGCCCAAAAGAAAGTAAATGTAAAAGTACAAGTCGGATGCATCCGTGACCCTTATCAGAGATTTTCCCATCCTGCATCGTTGCACTCTGGTGTTTTGTGTTCTCAATTTTCAAATTTATGGGTTTCGTTTTCTAAGACTTTTCTTTCTATTTTCCCAACATTGCGTGGCCCATTGGCCCCAACATGTCCGTTCCCTACCACCACACCAGAGCCGAAACAAAAGAAATTGTCCAATACCATCGACGGTACAGTCCAGCGGTGGCACTCTCTCGTTGATGTCCCGTCACGCGAGCACTGTCCATTTCCATTTCCTAAAAGAGTGTGCCAGGTTGTGAGAGAGATCGCAAATGTCCTTCAGGTGACAAGATAATTTCCCAAAAACCTCACACGTTGCAGTCGCAGCAGAAACCAGATTGTATACACAGAACGCCTCCCCATCCGCCCCGTCTCTTGAACACCATGGCTTGTCTTTCTCACTGCCCGAGACGCTGACAGCATCAGAGGCAGCAGGTTCCGGATTTTCAGTTGTATAGCATTGTCGCATGAATTTGGTGGAATGCTGCAAAGCCAGGACATAGTTGTAGATTGGTTCGATGGTGTCTTTGTTCCTCAGCACTCGAATCGATTTTCCGAGGCCAAGGACAACCACTGAGAAGTGTATGCGATGATTTTCTGTCCAGCAGAGATGAGAAGGACCGAGTCGGAGACTTGTGGCCGCCGAATGAATCCTGAGGTGAATTTCTTAGTTAACAGTCCTGCCACCGATGTGTGCAGGGTTCTTGCATTCCAATCGAGTGCAGGCTCGTGTCTGCGGCTTTCCGCGGTGCAATCGACGTCCGCATGGGCACCGAACATTGGCACAGGCTCGGCAAATGCATTCAGCAATGTGTGCTGGAGCCGGCTCTGGTGTCGGAGACTGATACTTCTGGGTCTTCTTGTGCATGATGCTGTGAGTGTTCGTACGATATGGGAAGGATAACTGATGATGTTCGAGAAATGGAGGATCGCGCCAGTGAAAGCAGAGAGTGCTGAAAGGTAGTTCTAGAATTGAGATGTAGACTTGATGGGACTTGGAAGAGGTAGTGATGCTGATGAAGGAGAGATGGAAAACCGAGAGCTCGCGGACAAACTTATATATTCGAAGACTTACCGTTGCCGAACACTGCCTTCATGTCCCAGAAGCCTCAGATAGCAGTCTCAGAGGGCAGCTTCAACAAGCAGTGTCTCTAGGGCATCAGGAACCCTTTATGATCTTGTCTCGTAACCACAAAGGCTCGGAAGCCGTGCTTTTGTCCACGACCCACGAGTCGTCCTGCCTTACCGAGACTGCTGCGTGCTTCCAAGAAGAGAGTGGAGGACTGCCACTGCCCACAGACTGGACTCATTGTTGTAAATGAAGTAGACAATTGCTTCTTTGTGCGCGACTGTCTCAGGCCAGAGAGATCCTGAGCAGATGACACGTAGAGGTAGGCATTTAGAGACTGCTTACAATCAGGCCTGCTCCAGTCTCAGCCTTGAGGACTCCTCCGCGACTCTTGTCTCAAGAAGTCGCTGCCTCATCACGACGCGGATATTGAGTATGCTCTGCGAATCAAGGATGTTCTTGAAGCTTATCAGGACATATCACGAGCCTGATGATCGCGTTTGCGATGCTATCATTCTGCGGCTGTAGCCAGCAAAACCCCATCTGGAAAGATACTGCATTCGGACGCAACATCTTGCCGTGTTGTTTCCAAGACTGATGCGGACAAGACAATTGGCAATCATGTACGAGGTAGGCTGAACTCCTCCCAGACACGAGGCTGTGGTGAATCGTGACGAAGGTTGGGATTTGGACTGGATCAGGGGAAAGTTTTCCGAACTCAGCCTCGCCAAGATTCTTATCACGTGCGCGTTTCATTTCAGCCTCGCGTCTTCTAGACAGGTTCATGACACTCACTTCGTTCTCAGCATTCTTGTATGATTTTCGTCTTCAGGGGTCTAATTAACTACAAGGTATGTATCCAGCACGAACCAATCAGCCTTTTTATTCTGCTACATTTATGCATACACTGGTGCGGCACGGTCAACATGAATCTCGTGTGGCACCCAAGTATTCAGGCTGAAACAGACGATGTACTTTTCGGTTAAGGGCAATGGCTAGTCTCTGGGCGAGGCATCCCAGCCGTCACTTCGCATTCGATTTGGGGGCTGAAAGTGTCCACAGGAGTATTGCAGTCGCCTGTCTCCAGAGCAAGCTTGACTGGTTTTCAGCCGCATGAGAAATTCCCACTTCTTTGTTTTTCTCTTTTCGTTGCTTGCCCTTGTCCATCAGTCCAATATTCGAGCACATCTCCCCTCTCTTCAATCCACCCATGATGGATTTCATCGTTTGTTTTTGAAGAGTCGAGGTTACTTTCCGGCGCCGTTGCCGCCTCCCGACGACCCGTTCCACGCCATCCTTCCGATTGCTTGTCAGAACTATATCAGAGATCCACCATGGCTCATACTGACGCGACATCGTGGGCTCCCTGGAAAGTTCTCCTCCACTGGTCTCCTTTTCATATTGACGCTCTGGGTCTTGTAACACTCTTGGGAGCTGAAGAGGTCAACGCAGCGGTCGGCCGCCTCGTGAGCAGTGCCTATCTTGAATATTTGCCTTTGCTGGGCGCGTATGTCATCGCCGGGAACCGATTCACAGACAAAGCTGCTGGCTTCAATCTCTACAACATATCACAAGGTATCCATACAACCGACCTCGCCGCCTGGTTGACGAGATGGATGCTCTCGCAGAAATTTGAGACCACTCGCAACTTTGTGGTCTGGACGGTGACGCCGCCGATATCTCGAAAGAATGAAATAACAATCTCGGTAGTCATAAGCGTCGCACTGAATGGCTTCCTCGTTGCCGGCACGATTCTCTCCAAGGATTGGTATGGCTTCGCCAACGCAATTGCCATGATTGTCTCCATTATCATCCGGGCCTATGTGATCGGTCAGCAGCGCATCGCATTCGATGCTATGGTCGATAAAGTCGTCAACACAACAAAGCCCAAAGGAGATACCTACGAAGCAAAACGATTCACGTACGAGCAATGGGAACAAGAAAGGAAAGACAAGAAGAAGTCCAATGTAAGAAGCAGGGTGAAAACGTCAGCCTCTCAGGAAGCCCAGTCGGGTGGGAGCACCTCATCGACTCCTTCAAGCGGACAGAAGCAAACTATTCAGAATGTGCAGCCGATGACTCGCCCTACTCGCCCAAACCCCAAAGATTACGACAAAGAGACTGATATCTGGACCGGTACACCCACCAAGGTCCTCATTATCCAATCTGATTCGAAAGCGGTCACCTTCTGGATGCCTAATGAGTTGCTGTTTGCGCCGTCAGTCTTTATCCAGGGGCCTGTAATATTAAACCCCAAAACATATTTCGCCATGCGATCCATCGGATGGCTGGCCTTTGCCGTACACATTGTCGCCATCGGCATGGCAGACCTGGCGAGTCAGATGTACACGGTCGCTCTGATGGTGCTACCAACCATCTTACTGATATCAAAAGTTGGGTGTGACGACTCGGAGTGGCTCACAAACTTTGAAGGTTGGGTCAGGGACAAACTCTACGGACAGAACATCAAAAGCAAGCAGCAGGAAGATGTAGAAAAGGGCGTGAACTCCACGAAATTCAGAAAAGTCCGGCACTGCTGGATCGGGTCCCGACTCCGGGCCGAGATCTACGAGTGGCCGGAATCATACGAGTTTCACGAGGTAGGCGAAGGCAATGACAAGAAATGGGTCAGCGGGCGCAAGAAAGGACAGGAACGCTCCACGAAACGGCAGGACCTGTACGCGTGGCTCGCGCTCACGACGGACGAAGAGGAGAGCATGGACAAATGGGACCTGTTCCCGCATATCCGTCAGGGGACTACTTCGTGGTGGAAGATGTACAAGCTCAAGAAGGCCACGCTAAAGGGCAACAAACGGGACAGTATGGGACCGCAAGATCCCCTTGATACGCCGCCTCCTCCTTCACAACAACAGCAACGACCGCCACCACAGACACAACCGGGCAAGCCGCCCGCCACCAATACGACTAATACCGCCGCCACCGCCGCCGCCGCTCAAAGCAGTCCCCATGAAAATCGACCAAGATCGTTCCAAATGCCCGGCAGGACAGCCACGTTCCACTTCATCGACGCCACCGCGGGTCCACAGACAAGCAGGCAGACAAAGGCAGAGCGCCGCCAGAGCAGCTCCGTCACGATGGGCAGTTCCGCGTTCCCTGCCATTAGCGACCACGACCAGATCCAGGCCGACGAAGGCGAGCAGGTGCACACAGACGACGCCGAGACGCAGACCTTGGGGGATCCCGCCGCGAAAACTGGCAATAGCGACGACAACCCCGCCGCCGAGGGTCTCCCTCCCATTACCACCCAGCTCCTCAGCACACCGCGACCAGAGCACGACGCTCCCGCCAGCACCTCTACCGCCGCCTCCGCGTCCCCTCACGTCTTACCGTCCTCTGGATCTCTCACCCAATCGCCCATCACCACCACGACCACCACTGACTCGCCGCACAACGAGAAACGCGCCTAAATACGGGGACCCCCCTTTCCTCGACTACAATAACAAATTTTCATCAGCTTTGCGTTTTCTTTAGCAAGCGAGCGCAAATTCTAGCCTTATACCCCCTCGTTCTCGCCCGCATGACTCGCGTTGATCTTGGACACCCCAAAGTTAATGAATGAACCGGATGACATCAACATCGACATCGACATCTACATCGACATCTATATATATATGTGTTGGGACATGACATGACATGACATGATGGAAAAAGTTTTTAGTGAGAAGAGATTTGATGAATCATATATGTGCGCATGCTACATACTACGTACTACTCGGACAGCACAGGATAGTCTCTGGTGTTTGTCAGAGGATGCTATGTTATGAGGGGCCAGGCCGTGATGAGACGGAGATGGAAATTGGGGGGTAATCGGGATACCTCCTGGATATAATATGGCATGCATGCATGCACTGTAATTGAGCGATTTCAGATTAGTCAGTTCTACAGTATAGGAACACACTCGCATCATAGTTGTATTCATTTTCACCCTTTTCCCACCGCAGTAAGACATCCACCGAGACCTTCAACGCGCAACAAGCTCGTGGTCCAAATGGACCGTCGCGGCGGGCTGTAGCTCCATCTCTACGGATCGTTCCCGGTAGTAGACCTTGGCTGACAATACGTCCTGGCCGGCATTGTGAATTGTCCCTTCGACCAAGATTCCCTCGCTCCACTGGATGTCGACGATGAGGTTGCCCTTTGCCCGGAGGCCCTGGACGTGTCCGCCCACGGCCCATTTCTCCGGCAGAGCGGGCAGGATCTCGACGTCTCCGACGAGCACGCTGCGCAACAACAGCTCTGCCAGCGCGGCCGTCGCGCCAAAGTTGCCGTCGACGACGAAGATGTTCGTCTTGGCCCCGGCGACGCCCGGCTTGGAGAAGGTCAGGAGGTTCTCGAACGACAGCTCCGCGATCAGATGCGTCAGGGGCTTGAGCGCGCCGTCGCCGTCGTCGAGCCGCGCGAAGCCCATGGCGAACAGCACCGCCGTGAACTCAATGTCTTCCAGGTCGGCGCGGGCTCGGCGCCTTTCGAGCGTGACGCGCACAGCCTCTGCCAACTCGGGAGTGTGTCGTTTGCGGATCTGGCTGCTGCGGATGAGGGCGATGATGTGCGACATGTGGCGGTGGTCCGGTTGGGCTTCCTCAAAATCTTCCAGCCATTCTTGCAGTTGGCCATGCCTGCCGATTTGCAGGGGTGGGAGTTTTGCCATGGCCTCTTTGAGGCGCCGCATGAAGTCGTCGTTCACGGCATCCTTATTGTCCAGCATTGGCAGCACATCAATGCAGAATGCCAGAAGGTCTCTCACCAGGACCACATCTAGAGTTGGGGATAAACTCAATGCATGTTCCTCACGCTTACCTCGTTGATCAACAAAGAAGGTGTTCTCTGGCGACACGGAGGGTCCGGTCACTATGTAGCCCATCTTTGGGTCGGCTGTGGACACATACTCCAGGAAGAATTCGGCCGCAGTTTTCAAAACGGCCCAAGCATAGCCTTTTAAATATGCCTTGTCGAGAGTATACTCCCAGTGCTCTTTCATTTCCATTGCCATCCAGAGCCCTCCCGTGACATTGAGCCCCCAGCTTGTTTCCCAGCCGGGCGCGGTGAACCCCCAGACGTTCGAGAACACGTGGGCAACCCAGCCTTTTTGCGTGCCGTAGAAATTCTTCGCAGACTCGACTCCAGCCTGTGCAAGCTTCCGCAGGTACTTTGCAAGTGGCTCGGAGCATTCATTCCCAAGACCACAAAGTTCGAGCGGGAAGTAGTTCATCTGCGTGTTGATGTCGAGATGGTAGTCGCAAGACCAGTTCATCGCATTGGCTTCTCGGTCATTCCAGAGGCCTTGTAGATGAAGCGGAAGTGGAGAGTCCGAGCGGGTGCCTGCAATCAGAAGGTAACGACCATAATTAAAGTATAGTGCATAAAGGGATAAGTCGTCTGTTTGGCCACCCTTTGAGGCCGCGAGAGCTTTTTGACGCTGGTCTGTAGGACGATATGATGTTGATGAAGGAAAGCCGAGCGTAAGGGCAACTCGAGTGTAGAGGCCCTGGTGGTCTTGTATATGAGATCGCTTGAGTTTGTCATATCCGGCCTCCAGGGCAGTCTGGATCTGAGCGCGGGACAGAGAATACCAGTCCTTATCGGGCGGGACCAGATAGTTTGTGTTCATAGCAGCCAATATCACCACGGAGGAAGCATTCACCACAAGAATGGCTTCTTCTGTAGGAAGCAGCTCGCCATCAGATTGGAGATGAACCAGACCATGCAGCTTGACACCGCATGTGCCGTCACTGTGCACCGTCTCGAGTGCGTGCGTACGGAATTCCAACTCAGCCTCGTTTGGCTTCTTTGTAGACCAACTTCTAGTTTCTCCTTCGAAACTTAGTTTGCAGGAAATGCCAGTCTGATCGTTTGTTGAGATTCTCATGGCTATGACCTGATGGGGATGGGAGATAAACATCTCCCTACTGATCCGGGCGTTAGAGTTGTCCAATGCATAGGTCGCCCAGCCAATTCCTTCATCCAACCTTAGACCTCTCTCGAACTTACGCTTCTCGACAGTGCTTCGAGGAACTGATGCAGAGATAGAATGCTCGACTTTGAGTCGTCCAACCCCCAGATTCGTCCCGAAGTTCCCTTTCGAGGGTTGTAACCATTTCTCTGCCAGGGTTTGCACGGCCTGATGATTCTTTTGTATATAGCGCTCACGCATCTCATTGATGGCAGCCTTACCACCATATTGGCTTTGCGGCTCGTATGGCTTGCCTGACCAGAAGGTGATCTCATTTAGTAGAAGTATGTCCACGTCTGCACTGGAAATAAGACTGGCACCTATCCTGCCATTCCCAAGAGGAAGTGATTGCGGAAAGCCCGTGGCTGGTGCGGTGTAATAGAGATGATGTGATGGATCCATTCCAGGCAGACAGTAGGTAGTGCTTCGTCCTCAGTATAATAAACTGATTTGATAATGGTTCAACGCTTACTGAGGAAACTGGTGCTCGTAAAGTATATCTGAGCTTCTCCGCCAGATGACAACAGCCGAAATTTCACACGACCGAAATGCTCGCATTCAGTCATTGTCTCGCACGCTTTCAAGGTACGTATTCATCATATCAGGTTGTCGAAGCCCGAAGACCATAAGGCCGTCAACGAGACCCCCAGCCAGTTCCATGTGCCTTCAGGAATGGAGCAGATCCCCGGCTCAGTGTGTACCAACCAGAAGCCGATATTCGGTAATTCGGTCAATTCTCAGGAACCGGCCCCATTGAAGTTCCAGTGGCTCATTCGGATATGACCAACGCCGGAAGCTGGTACAGTGCCACAGGCTGTCGTTGAAAGTATTTGAAAGAGAAATATTTGTGTTATTTCAATCATGATTCTTGTGAACTTGGTCATTACTCGAGAAAACCCGGTATCTCTGCGAATCGTGACAGCCACACCTTTGCTCACAGAAGGGTGTTAAAGTGACGACTCAATCTAGATCATTCGAGCATTTTGAACAACATAATGGCGGGCGACTCGGGAACGTCGAATGGCGTTAAACACGGCTCAAAGGACCTCGGTGAAGTAATCCGGTCATATCAAGTCTATGGTGAGTTTGAATATATGTGAGCTTGAGACACTTTGAGGACCTAAATTGTCGAACCAGACCTGCGCTTCCCAACGAGCCTCACCTCGGCGGGCTCAGACGCGATGAATGGAGCTCCTGACTATAGTGCCGCTTACATCGTTCTTAGTACCAACTCGCATTTGGCAGGACATGGCTTCTCATTCACTATTGGTCGTGGGAATGATCTGGTCTGCCAAGCAGCCCGTGCCACAGCAGAGCGTCTTGTTGGTAAACGGCTCGCTGATTTAACGTCTGATATGGGCAAAACATGGCGCTATCTAGTCTCTGACTCCCAGCTCCGGTGGGTAGGGCCTGAAAAGGGTGTAATCCACCTGGGGCTAGCCGCCTGTGTCAACGCCTTATGGGATCTCTGGGGACGGGCGGACAACAAGCCTGTTTGGAAACTCATCGCTGATATGAGCGCGGAGGAGTTCGTGAGGTGCATTGACTTCCGCTATATTGAGGACGCGATAACACCGCAGGAAGCAATGGCTTTGTTAAAGGCCCAGGAGACAACAAAGCCACAGCGCCTTCGCGATGCCGAAGCCAATCGAGCGGTTCCTGCTTACTCAACCGAGGCAGGGTGGTTGGGATACTCGGACGAAAAGATGCGGACATTGATGAAAGATCTCCTCGCTGCTGGCCACGACAAGTTTAAATTAAAGGTCGGAAGGGTTCTCGAGGATGACAAGCGACGATGCCGGATCGCTAGAGAACTTATGGGCGAAGAGAAGACTCTGATGGTGGATGCGAATCAGGTCTGGGGTGTATCCGAGGCAATACAATGGATGCTTCAGCTCGCCGAGTTCAAACCAGCGTATGTGTCACCCTACCCCCCTGAAGCAGCGACCACTGACAAGGACTGAACACGCAGTTTCATTGAGGAGCCCACGTCACCGGATGACATTCTTGGGCACGCTGCCGTCCGAAAAGCCCTCAAAGCTCATGGCATAGGCGTCGCAACAGGGGAGATGTGTCACAATCGAGTAATGTTCAAGCAATTGCTCCAGGCTGAGGCCATCGATGTCTGCCAGATTGATGCGTGCCGTTTGGGCGGCATAAATGAGGTTCTGGCCGTCCTTCTTATGGCCAAAAAGTAAGAGGAAAGACCGTAAAGTCGCTTAGACCAAACAGCTGACGATAATCCCAGGTTTGAAGTCCCTGTTGTCCCACACAGTGGTGGCATAGGCTTGAATGAGTATACGCAGCACTTGTCTCTGGTAGACTACCTTTGCGTATCTGGGGAGCGGAGCATGCTTGAGAACATCACCACTTATAACCACGTCCTCACAACGCCGTTACAAACGCAGGATGGTTTTTTTGTGACACCGTTAGAATCCGGATACAGTGTCGAGTTTCGAGACACTGCGATCGCGCAGTACAGCTATCCAGAAGGCACGTTCTGGCGTTCTCAAGATGGCTTGTCGATCATCAACAGTGGTTTGGCCTGAGGCACCGATAGGATTCAGGGTTCAGTCACTCTAAGAATGGTGTACCGCCTCGAGCTGAGGTCCGCGACGCAGGACTTCAGGCAAATGGAATGGACTGACCAGCCCGCGAATGCGCCGCTAGCCATTCATTCATGTTCATAGATTCAATGTGGTTCAGGTAGACCGGGTCAGGATCCGCCGAGACAGACGAATGGCTTTGTATGTTCAGATTCGACGACACCTCTCCTTGATTATCATAATCGTGACCGTCTGGTCTCGCGTTTTGAGGCCATCCCCGCGGATATATCGGTGATGTTGCCGAGGTCAGGGATAGATCATCCACTTCACCATCCCTGCCGAGATTCTGATAATGTCGAAGCACCATGAGATCGCCGACGCTGATGCGTTGAGTGAGGAACGAAGCTAGAGGATCATGAGCCTCTGACATTTGCGTTCTCAATTGATGGTCTTTGATTGATGCGGCCAGCTCGAAGAATTCGCAGTAAAAAATAGCGTGCCAATAAATATCCCGCAACTGGCGCAAAAATATCATGCAAAGCTCAAATCGGTTCTTATGAACCTGAAGTCTTTCCTCCGGTCGTGAAGATCTAATTCCGAGGACATGCACAATGAGAGGCGCCAACGTAAATGTCACAGCGATTGTGGGACAGAATCGCACCAGGTCGAGGTTGACGAGATGAGTAAAGAGCTGCGTGTTATCCAAAGCCGCAAACTCGACCTTTTGCTGGCAAGTGGTAGTCCAGTCCCCGGCTCCATTCCACAAAGTGAGTGACTGATACAAAGCAATGCGAATGGTATTCAAGCATGCGTGCAAAATTGCACGATACATAGTAGCGACCCCCATATTCTCCGAGACAGTCTGTAGGTGGTCTTGTAGTTTCGCTTGAGGAGGCAGGGAGCGCGTCCAGCGCTCCAGGGCATCTTCACAGACTTGAAGTTGATCCGGAGGAGTCGTATCTGTCGCTGAGCTTGAATAGCGCAAAGTTACTATGCCTTCGACGATCTGGCAAAGCTTGACGAATTCGATGAACATGGCTTTGATTTCAAGATCTTGCTCAGAGTCACCTTCTTCTTTGACATCGCCAAGGACCAGCATTGCCGTGGTACAGTCCAGGCTGTTGATCACAAGAGGACGACCGGTACCTAGGCCATTGCAGCGGTCCCGTACAACACAAGCCCACCAGATTCGTGCCCACAAAGCCCGATGGGCGACATTTCCAGGATCTCTGTGCAGCCCGCTAACTTGCGCCAAACTGATAGCTTGGTGTATCCAATGCCACGTATGCTTCCGCTCGGTGATGGAGGGATAGTACTGACTGATCAATAATAAGGCCTGAATAGTTGCAATCGGGTCTTCTTCATAGTCAAGGTCATAGAGTCTGCGGGCCTTGAGGTAATATGCATGGCGTGCTTGTTTGCGGGATGTGAATCCTGCCGCCGAAACGACCTCTGAGGACACAACTCCAATCGCTATGAAAAGCACAGCCTGAAGGAGTAGGAGACTGAACTGTGAATTTTGAGGGGCCAACTCGTGACCAGAAGCATTTTGAGCTGGGCTGGCTTGAGATGCACCGTATGGGCTGGTGGTTAGCGAAACTTCAATGGACTTAATGGACTTTAAGAACTCCGGTTTCTGCACAACAGGGAAGAATGGGTGGAAGATGGTGAAGTAAGCATCAATCAACGCCGAAAGAATATCTCGTCGAGGAATGTCGAAACAACCAACAGTCCTGAGATAGTGCAGTTCACTCTCGCCGCATGTCGAGCTCGGGGCAGAAGATCCTTGGTTTTTGTCTGATGCCAACTGAAGCACAATGTCCTCCAAAGGCCTTGTATCGGAACGTTGGGGTTCAGAGAGGCGCATCAAAAAGGCATAATGGGGGACCGAATGCAACAAACTGTGCCTGGAAAAGGACGATGTCCGTCGAGTTGAACGTTGCTCAAGCCCCTCTGGAGTTGCCGAGAGCGCATCGACAACAGATTCGCCACCTCCCTGGAAGCGAGTCGCCGATGTGCCGGTGGGTTCGTGACATGTCTGGGCAAGCGGAGAAGATAGGTTGGTAGTGTTCACTCCAGGAAGAGTCCTTACGACGGTGGTTTTTCGCTTCTTCCTTTCCACCGCCAGGCACTCGAAGCCATCCTGGTCACAATTCGAGCACGGCGACCCTTTTGTTGCATAGTCGCACTTGATCTTCCGTTTCCGACAAGACAGACAGGCTTTCGCAGCACGTTTGATTCTGTGCTGCACTGTTGTAGGCATCCCATGGTCTCCTGATGACGGGGCGGAAAGCAGAAACCAGATGCGGCGAGGCCCGCATTTGCCTGCGCCTCGAGTGCCAAGACTTATCACGTGGCAGCAGTGCCTCCAGCTTTCCGCGTGCCTCTACAGAGCAATTTTCCTACTTTATGATTCTTACAGATGACCACGGATGAATACACCACTCATATTCAGTGCCTCCATACCTTCTCGCTAGCCTCAGAGCCACCTTGTAACGCAGAATATCCTCTAACCCCGGGGAATAGAGGGGCAATGTCTCATCGGCTATACGTTCAGCTTCACAGCGCCACTTCCCCAGTCTGGAAAGATGAGCATGAAGCGGCGTCGGCATTTCGGCAAGGAGAAGGATATCCTTTGGTGTCCTGGCAGTCATTTCCCCCGCGAAAAACATGGGCGCCCTCTCTATCGTTGGCCGTTGCAGCCTGTCAGCAACGTCAGGCCCAGATATGTTCGAGATTGACGTTACCCTACGCACTAATAATTGTAAAGCAGGACGACTACGTGCTTCATGGCATGGAGCAATTGGCAAGAGGAGTCGTCACAATCTCGATAATACCTCGCTGTCGAGCCCAGGAGATTTGATCAACGATGCTGGTGCCAACGATCTAGTGGTTCGAACGCTCGGTTTTCTGCATAAATACCATTTAGGCCTCCTCTAAATGCTGCCACAATGAAGCTTTCAGGTTGCTTGGGTCTATGTCAAAAATGTGTGGGAAAACTGTCTTCAAATTTTCCGACCTGAGCGCCGGCCACTGTTCGCGAAGGGTCTGTAGGAGCACGCTGTACCAGATCTGGTACCCCTCTGCTGTGAAGTGTACACCATCCGAAGCCAACAACCCCGAGAGCGTTCCAGAACCGGCGAGATCTTGGGAGGAGGCATTCAAGTGAACCTCTCCAACGCGTAATCTCCGTCCAGGGATAGGCTGTTCTTCCGTCCACCCTGCAACATCCATGAAAGCGTGCCACAGGTCAACGAAAGCGACATTGCCCTGCGTGCCGAATTGCCTTGCGACTCGTGCGGTGGCATCCGAGTACAGTCTTGCCCTTTCGGTGAGTCGATCTAATGGGGCTTCGGGTGCGAGCTCGTTGACTGGTCCGGGTCCTACGAGAACCACGGCTTCAACTCCATGCTGTTTCGCTACCTCTACCATATGTGATAGGTTTTCCATGTATCTATCGACGGGCACGCTTTGTGAATGCTTGTTGTGTCTGGGATCTGCCGCATCGTTTGTACCAAAGGATATCACCAATAACTTGATCCTAGAATTGCGACTTTGCGTGGTTGGGGTCGATAACGGCGCTTCTGCCTGGAGAATGGCGTCGATAATATGGCGTCCATGTTCCGTGTTGTACCCGCCATATCCATGTGTTACGACCTGTAACTTGGACCAGTATTCGTGCTGCAACGCCGGCGCAAGGTTGAACCCGCCAGATTGGCTTGAGCTCTGCTCAGTCTGTGAATCACCGAACAGGATGATTTTCTTGACAGCAGCCGATCTCATGGCTGCTGATTAGGAGTGGTTGTCACAGTTCTCCTGAGGTCGCATCTCCTTGCCAGAGACCTCAGCCACGCCATCTCTGATATTTCTTTGATTCTTTAGACATCGAGTGTACGGCTAAAGGCAAGTCTTCAGCATCTCGGTCCAGAAGGCTGACTCTTATTGCCGATTAACCGTGATGAACATCAGCCACCAACTCATCAGCAGCCACTCAGGATGGTCTCTTCGGCAATACGGTTACGGCAAGATCCCGCTCGACTTGACAACTCAGAGAAGCGATGCGACCTTGACTTCTGGCTTCCCCACGGGGCGGTCGAGCAGATGAAGACCCAATTGTCGCAGATCATTCTGAAAACGATCAAGTCTTTACGCTCCCCAGAAAGTTGGGGTGTTATGGCTAACCAAAACTTGGAAGATGGGCCATCTTTGTCGGAAAACATGGCGGTTTTGCTGTACCGTCATTGGACTTGTATCACACCAAAGCAGCAAGCTGGCAATGTTGCATTCAAGCCAACATGTTCATAAGAATGAGATGTCTCTGCTGGAAGCTTTCAATCGCCGTCCTTCGAGCTTGATAACGTTCGAGCTACATTGTCTACTTTGCATTCTTCCCAACCTCGAACCCTTGTGACTTTGCCGGGGGCGTATTGTATCCGATACAGCCAGTCCAGCAACCACCATGGCTACCACCCAGACACAGGAGAAGGATGGCACCACGCTCATTGAACACTCCGCTAGCCTCGAACCAGGCCTGACCATGGAGAAGACACTCACTGATGCAGAGGTCACCGGCAAACTCGACAGCATCAGCACGTCCATGGCTAACCAGGGCACACACACGGAACATGAGCTCACCTATCTCGAGGCGTTGAAGATCTACCGTAAAGGTGCCTTCTGGTCCATCTTCTTTTCCTTGTCCATCATCATGCGCGCGTACGATATTGAGATCACCGGAAACTTCTTCGCGCTTCCATCGTTCCAAAGGCATTTCGGCCACGAAGTACCTGGTCATGGTTATCAGATCCCCGCCAATTGGCAGGTCGCCATGTCTATGGGCTCTCTCGTCGGGCAAATCATTGGTGCATATATTGTTGCTTGGCCAATGGAGAGGATTGGGCGCCGCAAGACATTGGCTATATATCTCCTCTTAACCTCTGCATTGGTGTTCATGCAGGTCTTTGCTCCAAACATTGAGGTCTTGACGACGAGCATGTGTAAGTACTTTCCTACTACCGTATGAACCAATAGGGCGACTGACATTTGCTTTTCTTGAATAGACTTGTCAGGCATTATCTGGGGTGGGTACTGCGTCCTCGCCCCAACTTATGCTTCGGAATGTCTTCCATTGAAACTCCGAGGGTTCTTCACGGGATATATCAATCTGTGCTATGTGATGGGCCAGTTCATCCAGACTGGAATCACGAGGGGCTTCATCAACAGATCAGACAAGTGGGCATACAAGATACCCTATTGCATCCAGTGGCTATGGCCAATTATCATCCTCCCAGGCTTGGTTTGGGCCCCAGAAAGCCCTTGGTGGCTTGTACGACAGCATAAGATGGAGGAAGCGGAAGGGTCTCTCAAGAGACTGTCGGAGAAGCACGAAAAGGTGGAAGTGACAAACACTTTGGCTATGATGGTGAAAACCGGTAAGAGCCATGTTTCTTTCTCATCTACTTGGGCACAGAACATTTCTTGTTCTCGGTGACTTCGCAGTGTCAATGCTAACGGAGAATTGGTCCAGATCTGTACGAGCGCCAGGTCGAAGTCGGCACCACTTACATGGATTGCTGGAAGGGCCCGAATCGCAGGAGGATGGAAATTTGCATCATGCTCTTCGTCATCCAGAACTTCTCGGGCAATCCCGTGGGGTTTGCAACCTACCTCTTTGAGCAAGTTGGATTGAGTGCTAGACACTCGTTTGACATGGGTCTTGGGTGAGTGCTCGAACAAGGCAAACCGCAAGTCATGATCATGTGCTCTGATAACTGACATGTATTCCACCACACCACAGGCTCAACGGCCTTGGATTCCTCGGAACTCTTGCATCTGCCATCCCCCTCATCTACTTTGGACGGCGCATCTGTTACATGGCAGGCCTGGCCTACATCATCCTCATTCTCTTCGTCGTGGCCTTCATGTGTCTTGCGTCAGACTATGAAAGCAACCCATCGTACTCTTGGGCGCAAGCATCACTCTTGTGCACCCTCCAGTTTGTTTGGCAGATGACTCTCGGCCCGCTTACGTACGTTGTCGTGTGCGAATCTCCGTCCACGAAACTCAGGTCGAAGACGATAGCGCTAGCAACCGTGATCAATGCGGCGACCGGACTGGTCACCACGGTGATTGGCCCGTACCTCCTCAACCCTGGTGCGGCAAATGCTGGGGCCAAGATCGAGTTTTTGTACGGCGGTATCTCCATCATCTCGCTCACATGGTGCTTCTTCCGTCTCCCAGAGACCAAGAACCGGACTTTTGAAGAGTTGGATATCTTATTCGAGAGACGCGTGCCGGCTCGACAGTTCAAGGGCTATGTCATTGATCATTCTGACGAGTAATGACGGAGAGGTCCAGTAATGTATGCATGGGGAATCCCGCGGACTTGAGTGGATGAGAGATGTATTCAGATTTATTATGACTGGTATCCGAGCTAGCCATTTACTGTTTCTTCCAAGTATTGAGCCAAAGTCTTCGTTCTAGGTCCATGTGTAGTCGAGCTCGCGGTCGCTGCCCGGAGACAATCCGGATAGTCACGCCGGTTGTACCCCTGGCATTTGCTTGGAGTACAACGATGCCCGCCTGATCTACCGGCGTGGAGAATGCGGGGAAAAGAGGCAAAAAGGACGGATATATAGATACGTGATAATGTATAGACACATGCGTTCTCCTATATACCGTGTGAGCTAACCTCGACGAAAGGCCACGCAGACGAAAGATACAAACAGCACGGCTTTTGCTATACGTGAAGCTGGTGCTTACGCTACACTTTCGGACTCCTGCTCAGAACCTAGTACGATTTCAGTGACTCTGGATTTCTCCGTGAGATTGCATATCTCTACGGGCCTCACAAGCCATGGCGGCAGAGAAGAGCGTGTTCTTGATAGGCCCCGGCCTGATCGGCACTGACCTGCTTGAACTCTTGGTGCAGGCCGGCTATCAAGTCACCACCATGGTGCGGCGGGAGGCACACGCGGCGCAGGTCCAAGGGCTCGGGGCCAAAGTGGTCATGGGCACGCTGGACGACAAGGAGACCATCCGCAAACACTCGGCGGCGAGCCCCATCGTGATCCACACGGCGACGGCCGACCATCTGCCGTCTGTCGAGGCCGTGCTGGCGGGCGTGCGCCAACGCGCCGAGCAGGGACTGGAAACGACATTCCTCCACACCAGCGGGACGAGCGTCCTGGTCGACAACTCCAAGGGCATGTACAAGTCGGACAAGATCTACTCGGACGAGCGGCCCGAGGAGATCGACAGCGTGCCAGACACGGCGCCGCACCGGGCCATTGACCTGGCCATCCTCGCGGCGCGGCGCGACCTGGGCACCAAGGCCAAGATCGCCATCGTGCTGCCCTGCCTGGTATACGGCATCGGCAAGTGCTCGGGACGGGTGTCGATGCAGCTGCCGACCATGGTGCGGTTCGCGCTGAAGCACGGCTGGGTCCCCGTCATCGGCAAGGGCGTCTCGGTGCGCAGCAACATCCACGTCCAGGACCTGGTGCGCGGCTACATGGTCATCCTGGAGTGGATGCGGCGCAGCACCGCCGACGAGGTCCTCGCGAACCCGTATTTCTTCTGCAGCACCGGCGAGGACATGGCGTGGGGGGACGCCGCCGCCGAGATTGGCCGCCTCCTGCTCGCGGCCGGCAGGATCGAGGACCCCACCCCGCGACCCGTGCCGCCCGAGCTCTATGGCGACCTGTTCGGAGTGTATAGTCCAACCACTGTGGGCGCGAATTCAAGAAGTCGTGCCGACAGGCTGCGGAAGCTGGGCTGGCGTCCGACAGAGAAGGGGGTCTTGGAGTCATTGCGTGACGACGAGGTGCCCGTCCTGTTGAAGGAAACCGGTCCGTTCAATGGGTACACGGGCCTCGCGTCTTCGGGGACACATGCGCTGAAGAGTTTGGAATAGTTTGGAATAGCCTGTGGAAGAAGTCGAAGTCGTGGGGATCTGCATAGAACATTGTCAGAATGGAATGGGGTGCCTTGCCACTTGAACTGGGTTGGATAACCTCATATACGGACCAACAGCTGATTGTGACGCTTATCACCTCTATCATTTGAGAGCTGTCGGAGGATAGCAGGACCGTGGACACTGTGAGAGACAAGTTTATCAGACAGACCATGTTCTTCAGGTCTGTAGTCGAAGTAGTAGCCATGGTGGTTGTGATAAGTACGAAAGTCATTGCCAGGGCGTTAATTAACTTTCTGTCGCGGTCTTTTCCGACACCAGTAGTCTATCCAGTTAGGAATACCTTCAAAGCTAGGCTTCATATCAATCCGACGATCGAGGAGATATTTCTCTCTGGTGATTGTTGTATCATGTCTCTGCTGCTTTCGTCACCTCAGCGTCTCTCAAATTGAGCATCAGTCGCCATGTTGGCAAGGCTGCTGCTGCGAGAATTGGACCGACAGAGTCTCCTCCACTGCACTCTCAGTATCATCCTGTTCATCAACATCGGCATATTCATTTTAACCTGTATCAGACATATCTACGTGACCGGAAAGTTTCCAAAGCACTTGCAACGGGCAGGTATACACAGCACCAGCAACCTCGCCGACCAATTCGACGCCAAGTATGGCCAGGACCAAGAAGGCACCACGAAAAGACCGATTGTGATCAAAGCACTGTACATCCACCCCATCAAGTCCTGCGCCCCTATCGAGCTGGAGCGGGCGCAACTCGTCAAGACAGGCTTTGCATATGACAGGTGTTTTGCGCTGGCGGTCGAAGTGAAGAAGGACGAGTGGCAGTTCATCAGTCAACGGACCAAACCTCAAATGTCGCTCGTTAAGCAGCAGCTGTGGTTTCCAGGGCCGGGCAGTAAACGAAACGACATGCTCGTCGAATCAGGGGGCTGTCTCACCGTGAGCTTCCCTGACCCGGATCCCCCCAATATTCCCCAGCGATTAAAAGCCATGTTGGAGACATGGTCATTGTCTGCAAAGCCCGAGGTCCACTTCACGGTGCCACTACTCCCAACGGCTGAACATATCAGACAAATGAAGATCCCGATGAGGCCCTTCACAATCCATAGCCGCCAGGCAGTGGGGCTTGATCTCGGCCAGCTCCCTGGTGTAGCGGGCGCGATACCCAAGCTGAAGAGGTTTCTCCATATACCTGAGCGCCAGAGCCTGTCCCTGATGAGGTGCACACCGGACACTCTGGTGCGTACAACCAGAAACCTAGCTCCACTAGATCACATTGGCACCCCTGCCATGCATGGCTACACTGACCAGCAACCCGTCCACATCATCAATTTGTCTTCGGTGCACTCGGTCTCAAAGCTTCTCCCGCCAGAGAACCAGCCGCTCAGCGCGCTCCGATTCCGCGCAAACATCTATTTGACCGGCACCCCTGCATTCTCCGAGGAAACGTGGAAGAGGTACCAGATTTTGCCAAAGACCGTAACCTCTCGAGCATCTACAAGGGCGGCTAGCACTTTATCCGTAGTGTGCCGGACGTCGCGCTGCACCATGCCCAACGTCGATCCGAACACAGGGATCTTCGAGCACGACAATTCACGTCCGGATCGGAAGAAAGGAGTGCCGCAACCTAGTACGACGTTGATCGAGCATCGTACGGTCGAAGATGGGAACCCTGCCGCGCTGGGATACCTAGGGATGCATTGCGTGCCCGAGGATTCATGTCTCCAGGAGGCGCGCGATCGCGGCAGCGAGCTGTTTGTCGAGGTCGGCGACGAGATTGAGGTCCTGGAAACGGGGTCTCATCTTTACGGGTCTACTGGGAATGACTATTGAAGTGAGATATGGTCGACGCTCCCGAACATGTCTCCAAAACACAGGCTTCGCTCGAGGATGATGGCTACCTTGAGTCTTTAAGGGGCCGGCCCCGTACATGATAGTTAGATGTTTCGTTCGCTAATAATCTGGGTAGAGGAAGAAGAAGAGACGAAGGGGAAAGTCCACGACAGAAATCATGAGATTTCCCCACAGAGATTTTTCCGTCTCGGAGCACACGGCGGGGGAGACAAATCATCCAATCAAGAGTCGTAAAATTAATGCAAGGCTGTGCTAGTCCAGAGCTAGCACCAACACAGTCTAGACCCGCCAAGACATGAAAATAATCATCCTCCGAAGCTCTGAAACCGGTGCCTCTCCGTGACTCAGTCTCACAAAACCCACAGGTCCCGTATCTTGAATGTGCCATCATGCCTCTGGCCAACGGGACGGCGAAGGAAGTACGAGTCAGCCTCCTCGGGAAAGAGAGCATCATCATCAATTTCGGGTTGTGGCGGGACTACGTCGCCCCTGATCTGCTGTCGAACTTGGAGTCATCGACGTATGTTTTGATTACCGACACTAATCTGGGATCGCTCTACACCCAATCCTTTCGAGAGGCCTTTGAAAATGCAGCCCGTCAAACGGGGAAATCGGCACGGTTGTTGATCCATCAGATTCCACCTGGTGAGAGCTCAAAATCTCGACAGACAAAAGACGACATTGAAGACTGGCTGCTCAGTCAAAGTCCACCATGTGGTCGAGACACGGTTATCATTGCCTTGGGGGGTGGCGTTGTGGGCGACCTGACGGGCTTTGTTGCCGCCACTTATATGCGCGGAGTGAGATTTGTGCAGGTACCAACAACCTTACTCGCCATGGTCGACTCTTCGATCGGTGGTAAAACTGCGATCGACACACCTCTCGGCAAGAACCTTGTCGGTGCCATCTGGCAGCCACAGAGGATATACATTGACCTCGACTTTCTCGGGACTCTGCCTCGACGAGAGCTGATAAATGGGATGGCCGAGGTCATCAAAACCGCTGCGATCTCAGATGAAGCAGAATTCATCGAGCTGGAGCGTCATGCTGACCGAATCATGGCCGCCGTGAATGCCGATATCAGCCAAGGGGCTGCTAGGTTCAAGGACGTAGAGGCAATCATGATCAGGATCATTTCTGCCTCGGCCAAGTTCAAAGCCCACGTCGTCACCATCGACGAGAGAGAGACCGGTCTGCGAAATTTGTTGAATTTTGGACACTCGATCGGCCACGCCATGGAAGCTTTCCTGACTCCTCAAGTGCTACACGGTGAATGCGTCGCGATCGGCATGATCAAGGAAGCCGAGCTTGCTCGCTACTTGGGTGTGCTTAGTGGAGTTGCAGTCGGCCGTCTGCAAAAGTGTCTGACAACGTACGGCTTGCCAACTCGACTGGACGATGAAAAGGTGCGCAGGCTGTCCGGAGGTAAGGTCTGTACAGTCGATGGTATGCTCAAGAAGATGGGCGTCGACAAGAAGAACGATGGTGCCAAGAAGAAGGTGGTCCTTCTCTCAGCAATAGGTCGCACATATGAACAAAAAGCCAGTGTTGTCTCAGACTCCGATTTGCGTGTGGTGCTTTCTCCGAGCATCGAAGTGGCGCCCGGTGTACCCAAAGACTTGAATGTTGTCTGTACGCCACCGGGCTCGAAGAGCATCTCTAACCGAGCACTTGTCCTTGCTGCTCTGGGTCGCGGAACATGCCGCATCAAAAATCTGTTGACTTCAGCAGACACAGAAGTGATGCTGGAGGCATTGACTCGACTTGGGGCTGCTACGTTCTCCTGGGAAGAAGATGGAGAAGTCCTCGTCGTGAATGGGAACGGTGGTCGGCTTGAGGCCACACAACATGAGCTCTATTTGGGCAACGCGGGCACGGCCGCCAGATTCTTGACGTCGGTCGTAACCTTGACACGGCAAAGCCATGTGGCATCTACAGTTCTCACTGGCAATGCCCGAATGAAGCAGAGACCCATCGGAGACCTTGTAGATGCATTGAGGCAAAACGGTGCCGGCATCGACTACATGGAGAACGCTGGGAGCCTTCCACTGAATATTGCAGCCTCGGCTGGTTTCAACGGCGGCGAAATCAAATTAGCAGCAAAGGTTTCGTCACAATACGTCTCTTCTCTGCTGATGTGTGCTCCTTATGCAAAGAATCCTGTTACACTCAGGCTCGTGGGCGGAAAGCCGGTTTCGCAACCCTACATCGACATGACTATTGCGATGATGGCTTCTTTTGGCGTTGCTGTGCAAAAATCGAAGACAGAAGAACACACATATCATATTCCGCAAGGCGTCTACAAGAACCCAGACAAATACGTGGTCGAAAGCGATGCAAGTTCTGCGACGTATCCACTTGCAATTGCCGCGATAACAGGAACAACATGCACGATCCCAAACATCGGCTCGGCGTCTCTCCAAGGCGATTCGGCATTTGCTACCGACGTGCTGAGACCCATGGGGTGTGAAGTGAAACAGACGCCTTCTTCAACCACCGTGACTGGTCCCCGTGACGGCAGACTTACCCCACTCACAAACATCGACATGGAGCCCATGACCGACGCTTTCTTGACTGCTTCTGTTCTGGCGGCCGTGGCTCAAGGAGGCAAATCCAACAAAACACGCATATATGGCATTGCAAACCAGAGGGTGAAAGAGTGCAACCGCATTCAGGCGATGGAGGATGAGTTGGCAAAGTTCGGTGTTACATGTCGACAATTTGACGACGGCATCGAAGTCGACGGGATCGACCGTACCAGATTAAGACGTCCGGAAGGAGGTGTCTATTGCTACGACGACCATCGAGTCGCCATGAGCTTTAGTGTTCTCGCGCTGGCGGCCCCTCAGTCCACCCTTATTCTCGAGAAAGAATGCACAGGCAAAACTTGGCCGGGATGGTGGGACACTTTGGCACGACAATTTAATGTCAAGCTTGAAGGTGTCGAGCTACAAGAGAACAGCGAACATGCCAGAGGGAAGATATTGGATAGAAGTGCAGCCTCGATTTTCATCATCGGCATGAGAGGTGCTGGCAAGACCACCTCCGGGCGCTGGGCAGCAAGATCACTCGGCAAGAAATTGGTTGATTTGGACACCGAACTGGAGAAACGTGAAGGCAAGTCGATCCCGGAGATTATCAAGGGACACGGCTGGGAACATTTCCGTCAACGTGAGTTGGAGCTCCTCAAATCCGTCATGAAGGAGATGCCAAACGACTACGTCTTTGCCTGCGGTGGCGGCATCGTTGAAACTCAAGAAGCGCGTAATCTATTGATTGAATGGCGCGAGAAGAAAGGCCACGTTCTCTTGGTACAACGGGACATTGGCGAAGTGATGGGCTTTCTACAGGTCGACAAAACAAGACCAGCATACGTCGAAGACATGATGGGCGTCTGGCTGCGCCGGAAACCCTGGTACGAGCAATGCAGCAATCTGTTGTATTACAGCCAAAGCATCCCCAACGAGCAAATGTCCGAAGCCGCCGAAGATTTCGATCGCTTTTTGCAGATGGTCACTGGCAAAGTCGACGCTCTGTCCACGTTCAAACAGAAACCAGAGACATTCTTTGCAGCTCTGACCTTCCCGGACTTGCGGCCTCATTTGAAACTCCTCCCTGAAGTCTGCCTGGGCTCTGATGCGGTAGAACTGCGCGTTGACTTGCTCAAAGATCCCAACTCAGACAGCGCCATTCCCTCCGCGGAATATGTGACTGCACAACTCTCCTTGCTCCGCGCAGCTGTTCCTCTCCCCGTTGTTTTCACCATCCGCACGAAATCCCAAGGGGGGAGATTCCCCGATGATGCTCAAGCAGAGTATCTACACCTGTGTACCCTCGCTATCCGTATGGGCAGCGAATTCTTGGACTTGGAAGTGGCATCATTCCCCGAGTCCGTCCTCTCGCCGATTTTCAACTTCAAGAACAAGTCTAGCACGCGAATCATTGCTTCCCATCATGACCCACAGGGGACGTTATCATGGTCGAAGCCCGGTTCCTGGATCGCCGTTTACAACAAATGCCTGCAGTACGGCGACATCGTCAAACTGATCGGGATCGCCGACAATCTGGACGACAACTTCGCGCTGCGACGCTTCAAGCAGTGGTCGAAATCCCAGCACCCGGACCTGCCTCTGATTGCGATAAACATGGGCCGCACAGGACAGATTTCGCGGATCTTGAACGGATTCATGACGCCGGTCTCTCACCCGGCGCTCCCGTTCAAAGCGGCACCGGGCCAACTCTCAGCGAGCGAGATTCGGCAAGGACTGACCCTAGTGGGCGAGATTGTACCAAAGAAATTCTACCTGTTCGGATCACCGATTGGCGCGAGTAAATCGCCGGCATTGCACAACACGCTATTCAAGGAGACCGGGTTACCACACGTCTACTCGTTATGCGAGACGACCGACCTGGCGGTGATCAAGGAAAAAATCCGCGCCGAGGACTTTGGAGGAGCGAGTGTGACCATCCCCCTCAAGTTGGATGTCATGCCTCTTCTGGACGACGTGGACGCATCTGCTCGTCTCATCGGGGCAGTGAACACCATCGTCCCCGTCCACAACCCGGTCTCAGGCAAGAACACCCTGGTCGGATACAACACAGACTATCTGGGTATGATGGATTGCCTGCGCGCAGCGGGCGCCTCTGCCGCGCTAGGTGAAGGTGAGCAGTCCGGCCTCGTCGTGGGTGGAGGCGGTACAGCGCGCGCGGCCATCCACACACTGCACGCGATGGGGTACAAGCCGATCTACCTGGTCGGGAGAAACCAGGGCAAGATGGCAGAGCTGGCCAAGACGTTCCCGCCGACGTATGACCTCGTGTTACTTGACACTGGCGCCGCGGCCGGGAAAACAACAAAATCGACGATGCTGGAGCAGCAGATGCCGACCGTGCCTGTCGTCGCGATCGCCACCATCCCGGCCGACAAACCCGTCGACCCGGCCCTGGCGTCAACGCTGCAAAGTATCTTTTCGCGGTCCGCGCAACTCGCGACCTCGACCGCGCCCCAGGGCCAAGGCACCTCGGCCCCGACGCGCACGCTGCTCGAGCTGGCGTACAAGCCCGTCCACACGGCCGTGATGCAGATGGCCGAGCAGGTCGGTGGGTGGAAGACGGTGCAGGGGCTCGAGACTCTGGTCACGCAGGGCCTGTGGCAGTTTGAGTTTTGGACGGGGATCCGGGTGAGGGGGTTGGGAGGGAGAATTAGTCGGGTGAGTTTATCTAAAGGATTTCGTTATTACTAGGTTGCGTTGTATGGCACCATGCTTTGCCTGGCTTCGCGTCGCCTCGCCTTGCTTTACATTGGATTGTTCCTGACTAACCCTCTATTCACAATAGGATGTTGTCCTCGGACCAACCGCCTGAGCTGAGCTGAGATCAGCCCGGCTAGTTGATTTCGCTACATTTCATTTCTTCTTTCTTCTCGCGCACACTTGTACAATGTTGCCAAAAGACGATTCAAAAGTACGTTGGATATGGGTGTGCAATAGTGCCGGAATTTCCCAAGGTTTCCAAAAGAAAATTGAAAAATGTACCGCCGAGGACTTGAAAAATCCGCTAATAGAGATAGAGGGAGGAGATTCTTTCTTTTGTACCGAGTATGGTCAGCCCTCGCCCTCTTCGTCGAGGCGGCTCTCTAACTCGACCGACTATACATTCATCACGTCGCTTGTTCAGCGTTTGCTTTGTGGGGGTGGCGAAGGTGGGGAGAGAGAAAGAGAGAGGGAGGAAGGAAGGGAGGGAGAGGGGAATCAAAAGAGGGAGTTCAGAATTTAGAAGAATAATAACAAAACTTTTCAATAAATTCCAAATACCGTCCGTCTGTCCGTGCATGTTCCACAGGAGAATACAGCTCGACAGTTTGGGTGTAGACAGGCAGACAAGTAGAGCAAAGGTTCCCTCGAGCCCCTGTGCGGCACCGTACTTATTGGCAGTGATCCCCCGTACAAAAACTGCGCCCTTTGGATGGTCTTTTTTATTTTTTGAAACCAACTCGGACTTTGTATGAGTCAAGGGACTAAAACTGGCCTGTCCAACGAAAATGAAGCCAACTACGTTGCATCTACGGTCAGAACGTAAAGTCTATCTATCTGTCTAACCACGCGCGTTCGCTGATGTTCTTCTAGTTGGAAAGCAGCGCGAGCGCAGGTTAGTCTAATCTCTTCGAGTCACGTCCGCCGCGGGGCCTTCAGACACAGATCCAGGACTGTCTGTCCAAGTCGCATGGTCCACCTGGCATAGCAACTCAAGACGTTGCGCCTCAGCACGATTCAACCCTCTTCATAGAGCAGTCGCTGACACTGGAGGTAGAGCCGCGCTGACTCCGACCACCACAAAAGCCCTCATCAATGCAGGATACCAAGTTAATGTTGAGCGGAGCCCTCAAAGAATCTTCGACGACGAGGAATACGAAAGGGTTGGAGCCACATTAGTACCAGAGAATACGTGGCGGGATGCGCCAAAGGACAACATCATCATTGGTCTCAAGGAGCTGCCAGTCGAGACATGTGAGTTTTTCATGGACAAAAGATATTGTCGCATTGGCAGCTGATGTCGCTAAAGTCCCCCTTGAGCATGTACATGTCCAATTCGCCCACTGTTATAAGCAACAGGCCGGATGGGAAAAGGTTCTCGCCAGATTCGTCCGAGGAAATGGTGTGCTCTTGGACCTCGAATTTTTGACCGACGCGAACGGAAGGAGAGTAGCAGTATGTAACATGTCCTCTGTCAGTGATTCTGCCTGGATGTCAAGTCTGAAATCGAATAGGCATTTGGCTATCACGCTGGGTTTGCTGGGTACGTCTCCTTCATATCGTCTTTCCCCTTGTCTCAAGGTGCAATACTGCCTGGGTGGCACTCCACTTGGACAGTGTTTCGATACCCCTTCTACTTCTTCAGAGAGTAATTGCTAATCGTTTGGATTGAACAGTGCTGCTTTAGCAGTCATAAACTGGTAAATCTCCCCTATGGACTCCCAAACTTGCTTTTTTTGAACGTACTGTGGGTGCCGAGAAGACTATCTGAGTTATATTGCAACAACAAAACAACTTCCCCGGCACCCCCAATGCTTTGCTTAAATAGCCAGGTCTGACCCAACGAGCATTTTAGGGCATGGCAAATCAACCATCCAGACCAGCCACTTCCATCTGTGTCATCATATCCCAACGTCGACGCCTTGATCACCGACGTCAAGAAGGCTCTCGCACAAGGAGCTGAGAAGACGGGCAAGGCACCAAGAGTGCTTATTATTGGAGCTTTAGGGCGCTGTGGCAGTGGTGCAGTTGACCTGTGCTCGAGAGCTGGTATCCCAACCGAGAACGTCCTTCGGTGGGATATGGCAGAGACAGGTAATCAGTCGTCAGAGTTTAAGTGAAATTGAGGTGGCTAACAGACGCAAATAGCCAAGGGTGGCCCCTTTCCAGAGATCGTCGAGAGCGACATCTTCATCAACTGCATTTACCTCAACACGAAGATCCCCAACTTTGTCGACATGCCATCGCTCGACACGCCGAGCCGCAAGCTGTCCGTTGTCTGTGACGTTTCCGCAGACACGACAAATCCCAATAACCCGATCCCCATCTACACGGTCGCAACCACATTCGACAAACCAACCGTTCCTGTCGAGGTCAAGGGCAAGCCGGCGCTCAGCGTTATCAGCATTGATCATTTGCCGAGTTTGTTGCCCCGAGAGGCCAGCGAGGCCTTCAGCAACGATCTGTTGCCCCATTTACTGGAGCTCAAGAACTGGAGGAGTAATCCCGTGTGGGCCGGCGCGGAGAAACTGATGCGAGAAAAGGCTTCCACTTTACCAAAGAGCGAGTTATTATAAAACTTGAAAAGACATGAGATTTTTTTTTTTTCGCTAGCGGATTCTCCGTCGATAAAAATGTTGAAAAAGTTTGGCCCGGTTTTCGAACCGCTTGCTTGGTGCGTATGTATCGAGTATATCGAGTAAAGGCGAGGAAGGGAATTCCTTTCATTTGAATGCCATTCATTGGACGCGCTTACACTGCAGGGTCTTTGTCACTTTCGTCTGGGGTTTGATCCGACAAACACCATCCATCCAGCCAGCCAGCCAGCCATCCATCCATGAATTGTTCAGCAGGAGACAACTCGCTCGCGGTGCTGGAGATACATAGCAATTGGTAAAAGCAGCGAGCGAGCGAGCGAGCGAGCGAAGACGGGCCCAGTCAAAGTTTGACTTCGGCTCGAGCTCGAGCTCTCTACCGCCTTGGCCGCGTGCATTGGACAAGGAACATGCGATACTAGGTAGTCGCCAGGCCAGGCGTTTCTTGCGTTGGTTGAAGCGGCGGGCGAGCCTCACTGAGGGTCGTGCCTCAGGGCCCAAAGATAGAAATTAGAGGGGTGGGTAGTCGAGATTCCGACGTCGAACTTGTGCCTATTATTTCCAAGGCTGAAAAATCAAAATCATACAGTACATTTATCTCTATCGCCCATAAAACACTTTTTTATTCTACTGTCCCTGTCCCTGTGCCCGCCGCTGTTCTTCCACTTGTCTCTGCAGCGCCGCTGCGATCGCCGGGTTACTGGCCCATGCTCCGGAGAGGTAATTCTGCGGTCCGCCCTGGTACTGGCCCAAGTGCTGCTGCTGGTGGTGCTGCGCCTGGTGAGGGGCGAAATTGCCACCAGGGAACAAGGGCGGTGGAGGCATGCCCGGTGGAGCGACGAATGGTGCAAAGTTGGTCGGTGGTTGAAAGCCCTGGCCAAAATTGAACGAGACATTCGGGAGAGGAGTGATGGGTGAAGGCGTCATTGGTGGGTATGTTATGTTTTGCGGTGTTATGGAAGGCGTCGTCGGGACGTTGAGACTAGGCAAGGGTGCGGTGGACGATGGGTTGTACCCATTTTGATGGTTGCTGTGGGATGCGTTATACTGACCGAACGGAGGCTCTCGAGGCTGCTGAGGCTGGTGCTGATTGAAACCTCCCCGTCCACGCTGCGGCCGGAATCCTCCTCGACCCCCTCGCCCGTGACCGTAGCCTCTCCCTCGCCCACCCGACTCCCCTCCTCTGAAATGTGAAGTTTGCGGAGGCGGTGGAAGTGGATGCGTCATACCGCGTTCCCGGAACGCCTCTTGAGGCTGCTCGCCTTTGGCGACCATCTCTGCGAGACCAGGCGGTCTTTGCAATGGCGTATAGCCGTCGTCGCCTGCATCTGGCACCGGGGCATCGTCATAGTTCATTTCCAGGGAGCCATTGCCGTAGGCGGAGCCATCACCGGGGTTGCGGTGACGATGGTCGGTATGATGACCTCCTCTGCCCCCGCCACGATGCGACCCTCTAGAAAACTTCGAGTTGCCACGGCCCCTGCCTGGCTCCAGCGACCTCCCCTGCCTCTTGGCTTTCATCTGGCGCTTGTGCTCGGCCTCGGCCTCGTCATCCGAGAACTCCATCTCGTCCTCACCAACTTCCTCATCGTGGAAATTCGACGCGTCACTTCCCTTGACACCCTTCAGGGGTTGGGTGAAGACAAACGTGGAATGTTGAGGGACGTAGAAGACCGTGGTGCCAGTTTCGGAAACCCCGGCGCTTTTGATATCGTCCTCATTGGTGAACCGAATCGTGTATCTGGGTTCCTCGACTCTTCCAATCAAGTCGGCAACCACTCCAATCACCGATCGGTCCTTGAGACAAATCAAGGATCCAGGTTCCAAGACTTGATATTCTCCCGAAGTATGGGCCTTCACAACGACCGTACTCTCGACCACGAATTCAACGTTGCCCAGTTCTTCAATCTTCATATCTTCTGTGACAGTAATGTTCGGTTTGGGTATGACTTCTTCCACACGTTCATTTGCCGTCCGGAGTGGACCTCCCTCTTTTCTGTCTCGGGGTCCTCCTCCTTCGTCATCCGAACCTGCATCACCTTGCATGAGTATTCTTGCCGTCTCCTCGGGGTCCAGCATGGCGTAGTCGCCGTCAGCATCCTCGTCGCTGTCTTCCTCCGACGACGTATCCTCAGAGGTGTCGGAGTCGGAGTCTGAAGAGGACTCGTAGGGTGATGAATCGATTTCCCACTCGGCACCCTCCGCACCTGGTTGGGGTTCATCGGCGCCGTCAGGGAAGGTTGTATCTGTTGAGTTGAGACCGACGACGGTCGGTGTATCCGCAGCATTTCCCACAGTGGGTATCGAGACATTGGCGTCTGGTTCAACGTGCGTAACGCTGCCTTGTTGCGCATCATGATTTTCTGTCACGTCCATTGTCTCAACATCGCCCGCGCCAGTAGCATCCTGTGCAGGCTCCTGAGTTGTAGTGGCTGGTTCCGTTGTATTTGCCTGCGGAACATGTCGTCCATCTTCAACCTTGTTATGTTCTCCGTCGATTAGCATAGGCTGGGTGTCACTGGCTTCTCCAGAAGGGTGCGAGGAACGTCTTGCGGTGGCAGCGGCCTCGGCCTCGACTTGCAGCATCAACGCATCTAGAAGAGAATTCGACGGATGTTGGGTGGCATGGTCTTCACTCTTATCCAAACGGCAAGATGTTGTCTCTGGCTCGGCCTGTGATTCTGGTGCTGACTCTGCCACGGGAACGCTCTGCTCGGCAGCGGGCTGCTCGTTGACGGTACCATTTTGGTCGGTTGGGGATGTCGACTGGAGAGGATCGAGGTTACTTCTGGTTTCTTCTGGAGAGCCTGTCCTCTGACGCTTAGCAGGAGATGTTGGAAAGTCTTCGGCGTCCATGCTTCAGTGATAGACTGGGACTGGGCCGTGAACTGTTGTTCTGGTATTTATGGAAGGACGATTAATCGCGTCCCAAAAAAAAGTTTCTGTGAATGCGGAGAAATTCAAGAGGGAAAATTGGCTGCGGCTGGTGGCCACTCGGAACAATTCCTCGCCCACTTGTCCCGTTTCACTTCCACTCAATCCTCTTCAATACATAAGTTATGGTCTTGCAGTTGCGGTGAGTTGTTAAAGGATGGTCTTCATTCCTCCTTGGTTATGAGCTCTACAAAACCTGTCAATCCTGCACGTCATTTTTAAGCATCAACGTGAGGCGTCGCTTTTCTCACACTCTGCTACTGAGACTGCTACAAGTCAATGGCCAACGAAGCGCGATTCCGACCAGACAGCATCGCTCTATCAAACCTCTCTTCACAGGCCCCTCTTCCCAATGGAATTGTTAACATCGGTAGCCCTCTGTCATCTTGCTCTCTCCCAGAAGATGATGTACCCTTCCTGACAGAGGAAACTGCAACGGAAAACTCAGCAAACGATGAGTTGTCCCCTGGACTTGCTCGACGGCTCTATATTTCCCACTTTCTATCAACGTGGAATTTCCGGGGATTCGAGTTCGGCGCTGTTTTGTTCCTAGCCAACGTCTTTCCCAACACACTGCTGCCTTTGTCTATCTACGCTCTAGTCCGGTCTCTGGCCGCGATTGCCTTTGCGCCATTAGTCGGACGGTACATCGATACCGGCTCACGTCTCCAGGTTGTTCGCAATTCGATCGTCTACCAGCGAGGAGCCGTCGTTCTTTCATGCGGCGTCTTTTATATCATGCTCTGGCAAAGGCCACACCTCCAAACGGTCAATCTTTACACACTTCTCGCCTTGGGTACTATCCTGGCTTGTGTCGAAAAGCTTTGTGCAATCATGAACACTGTGTCTGTCGAAAGAGATTGGGTCGTGGTCATTGCTGGTGACAACGAAGCGATACTCCGAACACTCAATTCCCAGATGCGTCGCATCGACCTTTTCTGTAAACTCTGCAGTCCTCTGCTCATCGCATCATTGGAAAGTTATGACACAAAAGTCGCCATTGTCGTAATGGGCAGTGTCAACGCCGTCTCTACCATCGCAGAATATTGCTTCATTGAAAGGGTATATGCGGCGGTCCCGAAACTTGTGCGCGGCTGTACACCTCCCATCAGGAACCATGGGAGCGGTGATGACCTGGAACAAGAATCGGCGTCCGTTCCACATGATGTTGTTAGACTATCATTGTGGCGGAATTTGAACATCTACACGTCTCAGGGAGCTTTCCTGCCCTCCCTCTCACTGTCCATCCTGTACCTAACGGTCTTGTCCTTTTCCGGGCAAATGGTTACGTATCTTCTGGCCAGTGGGTATACTTCGACCATTATTGCGGTGATTCGTTTGATATCAACTGGGTGTGAGATGTCGGCCACTTGGATGGCACCGTCCGTCATGGGTTTGATTGGGCCCATTAGATCCGGCCTCTGGTTCCTCAACTTCCAGATGGTCTGTCTGGCCATCGCTCTCGGTTTCTTCTGGATGGCGGGGTCGCCAGTATGGGCGGCTTCTGGACTGATCGCCGGCACGATCCTTAGCCGCGTTGGCCTTTGGGGATTTGAGCTATCGGCACAAGTCATTATTCAAGAGCAGGTCGAACCAGAATTCCGTGGGTCCTTCTCGACAACCGAATCCTCGATTCAAAATATCTTTGAGCTCTGCGCATATGCCTCGACCATTGTATTTCCCCAGCCGACCAGCTTCAAATGGCCTGCCACTATGTCCGTTGCAGCCGTTTACACTGCCGGAGCCCTTTACGCCAGTTTTGTTAGACGCAGACGCGGTCATTTGGTCCACGTTTCAAGATGCCTGGAAGGCAGAAAACATTCGACTCTAGAATCAGGAAGGATCTATCGACGTTGCAGGTCAGATATCGGATAGCCCAGGAGGTAAATCAGCAAATGAGACAGGCATCTATCTATGTCTCTTGTGGTTCATGTCCGCAATCGACATTGCAGATCCAGACACATTTGCATTGCGACCAGTCAAGTAAACCCCCCGGACCTTGCCGCGACTTCACAATAGTTGGTATATACCCATGCTTCCAGAGCCTTAGGCCGGTATCCATATCTATGCGATGCACGTAAGCCACTCCGAGATCTCGCTCAACATGTCGACTGCTCGCCACTACGGAGGCTCTAGATAGTACCTCAGCTTCCCGCCGACCAACGCCCACATTCGGTACTTGTTGATTTGGATTATGCGGAGAACATCTTGGGCAGCATCAGCCCCACATGTTGCTGCCACAGCATCCAGCTTGTCTCTGGTTGCCTTGAATCGACACCGCCGACACGAGAATTCCTTGGTCGAGAAACAACTGTCAGTTTCCTATGCAGAGGCACAGATTCTCTCGGGGGGGCACGAGGGATCGAATGACGCACATCATCCTGTCAGGGTCCATGAGAGCACATAGTTAACTTTGGGCCTCCTCGGCCTCCCAGATGTCAGACTGTGCAGCCCGCAAAGAGGAGTGGTGCATCCAATGGCCGAGGTCTTCCACTTTCCTCAAACAAAGGACACGACCGTAATCCATTTGTATAAGAGATTCGAGGATCCCCATTACCCCATGCTCGCCCAAACAACTTCATCCGGCCTCGGTTGGTTTCCTTCTGTTCCTAACACCTGTGTCTATCCTTTTGATCTGGGTTTCAAGCATCGTCTCGTTGCAAGATGGCAGGCTATGACACGATCCCGCAAAATGCTGAGTTGAAGGTGGATAGATTCACCTTGTCGATCCCTGACCAGCAACTGTCTGATTTCAAAGACCTGTTGCGACTCTCCAAACTAGCCCCACGCACATACGAGAACTTGCACACCGATGATGGCGAGTTTGGTGTCAGTTATTATTGGATGAAGAAGGCGAAAGACTATTGGCTGAACCAATATGACTGGTAGGTCCTCATTCAGCGGAACGAGCTATGTACCACAACGACCAGAGACACTGAAGCCCTTGACCTAGGCGTGAGATTGAAAAGTACAACAACTCGTTTCCGAATTTCATCGCCCACATCAAGGATGACGACGGCGAGGATTTCCGCATCCACTTCGTAGGTCTCTTTTCCAAGAAGCAAAATGCCGTTCCGCTCCTCTATATGCACGGTTGGCCCGGGAGCCATCTTGAACACCTCGAGATCATGGACCTGTACCGCAACAAATATTCACCAGAAGAGCTGCCTTACCATGTCATTGCTCCCTCGCTGCCAGGATGGACCCTCAGTTCCGGGCCTCCCTTGACCAAGAACTTTACCACCGAAGATATTGCTCGAATCATGAACAAATTGATGGTAGGTTTGGGATTTGGGAGTGGCTATATATGTCAAGGCGGCGACATTGGTTCTTTCACGGCCAAGGTTATGGCAGGAACATATGATGAGTGCAAAGGTGAGCCAAACATATTGAGCCCATATCCGATCGATCTTCTTGGCATATATCTAACTTGTCATCAATAGGTGTACATTGTGAGTGTGATGCTTGCGCCCCCGTAAGTCCCCAGCTGATGACTTTCCAGACAACTTCGCCGTGTCTAGCGTGCCGCCAGAGAACGTGGATGAAAGTCAAATCACCGAGTCCGAGAGGCATGCCATGGAGACACGAATGAAGGCATTCAACACGACCGGAAATGCCTATGCGCGAGAACACGGCACTCGACCGGCGACGATTGGGTTTGTGCTGGCTTCCAGCCCCCTTGCCCAATTAGCATGGTAAGCAAGTCCCAACATAACTTGGAAGCGTCCAAAATATCGGCGGTCTACGCATCTGACGGTCAAATACACTAACTCCCGACATTTGACAGGATCGGCGAGAAATTCATCGAATGGACCGACGAGACACCCCCTCTCAAGAAGATTCTCGACTCCGTCAGTTTGTACTGGTTCACCGAGTCATTCCCACGCTGCATCTACTGCTACCGCGAGGTATGAGTCTGCCTGCCTGCCATGATGCCAGTGATCTCTCAGTTCTGACCGCTCTCGAAACAGTTCTCCCTCCCTGGTGGCCCGGGACTCCCGCACGGAAACCCGAAATACAGAAACGACAAGCCGACCGCATACTCGTGGTTCCCGAAGGAGCTGGCGCCGGTGCCGAAGGCGTGGGTGCTCGCACAGGGCCACAACCTCGTGCTCTTCCGACAACACGAATCGGTGAGTTTGGCTTTGTTTTTCTCAAGGTTTGCCCAATACATCCCCACGCGATCACTTTGTGTCGTATACATGAGAGCTGTACCGCAAACCATCCTCCGCCCACTCATTGGGTATTGGTTTATTTACATGCAAGTCACACGGGACTAACCACCGAGTAACCTCTTATTTCACAGGGCGGCCACTTCGCGGCAATGGAGAAGCCAAAGGAAATGCTCGAGGACATGGAGGAGTTTATCCAGAAGATCGGCTGGCCTGTGAAGAAGTGACGGAAAGGAAACCTACTCGTTGTGCCGTGCAGAGATGGTGGTCGGGCCAGTAGCGGCGGAGGACTAATGAGGTACTCGATTCTGTGCTTACGTTGATTTACTACCTCGCATATCGAGTCATGAAACGTCGGCTACCTCCGGGATAACGGGAACAGAAAAGTCAAGGCCTGTGTTTACAGTCACTGATTGACTGCCGAAGGGATAATGGATCAGGGTTTCTGCTGATGGGATGACTGCAGGACGGACGATCCAGAGACCAGATAACACACAGCATCAATCAGAACCAACTTGAGTGATACTCTAGAACGACATGACTAGCCCTTTATCAGTGTTTTCTAGCGCAATAAGTAGTAGTGCTGTAAGGATCGATCCCACGCCATGTTCTGTTACGATAGTCAAAGCTGTAAAGGACCGCTCTCAATCCCAATCTCACTGGTATGGCCTGGCCTAGCCTGGCCTAGCCTGGCCTAACAAAACACGCACTGCTCGTCCCGACCAAGCGAGGCTTTGACATCGTGCCAAATCTCCGCACACGGTACCTCGCACTCACTACCCAGCCAGAGGAACCGGGCGAGCATGTCCTTGACAGTCGTCATCTCCCAGGGAACTTCCTCCTTTTTGACACTCTCGGCAGCGCTGACGTGTTGAACGAGGAACTCGACGAACCAGTCGTAGAGAAAGGTGCTCTTCACGGACCACGCAGTCATGACCGCGGTCCAGAGGAGGAGAGGACGATAGGTCTGATCGGGGTGCAAACACAAGTCTGGAGTCGTGGCGTGTTGCAGACATCGCTTGACCCGCTCGGCGTACGGAATCGTCACATCGACATTGTCGTGCAGGTTGGGCAGGAGGACCGTGACCTGGAAGACAAAGGCGCATAGGCGACAGAGCTCGTAGGCCGCGAGTGCTCGACGTTGTGTTTGTACGAGGGCTGGGTTCTTAGCAGGGTGGACCGAGCTTGACGACGATGAAAACAGCTCCTCCGACAGGTCCGGCAGGGTCAGCAGCTCGTGCTGATTCAGGTTTCGTGCAAAGATGATCATCCTGATCGGGGGAGCTTCACGACGGTCGCCGCGTTGGTAGCTGTCGAAAGCGATAATCAGATCGCGCATGTCGTGTAGAACATGCAGCATTTTGAGGGCTGGCGGCAGGTCCAGATCTGCGAGAAAGTCGAAGCCGGTGGCCAGATTGGGGCATCTCTGAGATGCGAGACTTCCGGGGTGGCTGGTGGGCCAGGAGCTGATGGCCGACGAAGAGGGCATGAATAGCGGAAAGGAGGGCTTCCTCTGAAACATGATCGATGTGTGGATATCGAAGCTTCAATTCCCCCCAATCAGCATATGATAGTTCGGTGACTCTGTTGGTGTTTAAGACTCACGAAGCAAGGGCAAAGGCAAGCCCGGGGAGTCGGATCGTATGTAATCCGCCTTTCATCTTGACGATCTCGACCACAGCCCTCATGTGTCGCCATTCGTACTCTTGGCTGGAGTAGAACTGGCCATCTTGCTGGGCCGACATTGTTCGTTTCTCGCGCTTTTCTGCCGCCGTCACCTTCTCTCCGTAGCCGACGATTGCCAACATGGCCATGGCGAAGATGACCTCGTCGGTTAGGGCTGACGCTTGAGACTGGAGGGCTTCTCTGAGCGACTTGATCGCTTCCAATTTGCTTTTCAGCCGCAAGACCGCGCTCTTTGAATTGTCCACCGTTGGAGATTGGTGGAAAGCCTTGTGTGCGGCACCGGTATAGACGAGGGTATGAAAGCACAATGGGGAGCGGATCGCAGTGTCCATGACTGACTTTTTCGCCGCGAGCAGAGATCCTGGCCGGTCATCGGCGGCAAAGAGGGACCACTGGTACGAGACGGCTGAAAATCGCAGTCAGGTCTCATTGAATCGTCGCGCGAAGTAAGATCTCAATATGGCGCAACTTGGGGACAATACAAAGCGCTGAGCGGAAAGACGGACTGACCATGGTCAAGCATTTCATGCACCATCTGAGGCTGGTCCGGCAGACAATAGGCGTTGAACGGGTCAAGTCTGCCGGCCCCTAGTACGGTGCTCGGATCGGGAATCGGAGGTTTGGATCTCATTTGCCCATGGCTGCTTGATTCGGGGAACGATGCTTGCACAACCCTTGTAACAGTCTCTTTCATGCCCTTACCTGCAGAGGGTCGTTGGCCGCGAAGGCCAGGCGTCTTGAGGGACTTGGCCTTGCGGTGGTAGACCCTTGCGGCATGCTGTTGCGGGGACTCCTCTGCTGTCTCGTCAATGTCATGAGAATCCGTCACCGGGTTATACGGTAGGAAAAGGAGGCGCATAATTGCTCTCAAGATCAATGAGGTTCAATCTGTTCTGGATACCAGCTGAGTGGCTTATGGTCGACCGACAAGGTATGAGACTCTCAAAGGTTCTCACAAACGAGAGATCAGAGCAGTATCATCACCCCATTTTCGACAGTACTTTTCATTCGAGTCAGACCTGGCTGTCCTGATTAGCAGGTGTGGGAGGCTATGCCACTGGTGAAGACACCCTTTAACGCGTGTTTGGAGACACTCGAGGCTTTGTCAAATTCGTCAGTCAGATAAAGTTGGAGTTTGACTGGGAAACCCCTCGGCATGAGATCTGGGGTTCTGGGCATCTCGGCAGAATGATTCTCAAGTCAAATACGAGGTACTGAAAACATTATTTGAACAAGAAGCAAGCAAACTGCGGCTGGCTGAGACAAACTGAGCGAGCTGCTCGATTGGGACTAGTCGATATATTATTATTACAGGGGCTATCCCCAAAATAGCCATAATCTTGGCATATATCTTGGCATATCTGTCTCCTTTGCCCGACCAACTACTTTTCTGAGAAAACCGAGCGACCTAACCGTCAAATATAGGGAAATGGACCCGAGCTTGGAGGACTTCAAGAGACGGAAAGATCCTATTAGATCTCCAAAAGGGTAAGAACGCCATAACTCCCTTCCAATCCAGCACTGACGCTCCGAAGAGCGACAGGTCAGCAAACTCCCCGGCCAGCTCCGACCAAGTTCTTCCTGCCGCTGAACATCGCCTTTTACGTCTGCTTTGCTTCACACCTTGTAGCAGCGCTGTATGCACCAATTCAGGACTGTGATGAGACCTTCAACTACTGGGAACCCTTGCACTACCTAAACCATGGCTACGGCCTCCAGACATGGGAGTACTCTCCAGAATTCAGCATTCGGAGCTGGGCATATATCGGCCTACATGCCCTTCCCGCAAAGCTCGCCGGCGTCTTTGGTGGGTCGAAGATGTTCGAGTTCTATTCCCTCCGTGTCATGCTGGCATTTGTCTGCGCGGCAACTGAAGTCCGTCTTTACTCGGCCATATCTCGAACCATCAATCCGAGGGTCGGGGTGATTTACCTTATGATTGTTGCCTTCAGCCCCGGATTCTTCTATGCCTCTGCTGCATTTTTGCCATCTAGCTTTGCCATGTACACATCCGCCTTAGGTCTGACCTCTTTTATGGACTGGCATGGAGGATCTAAAACTGCGGCCGGCATCATGTGGTTTGGAATCGGCGCTCTACTTGGGTGGCCATTCTCGGGAGCCCTGATTGTTCCATTCGTCGTTGAAGAATGGCTCATGGCGTTGATAGGACAACAAGGTCTGTTCGAGACGTTCAGGCGGTATCTGGACGGTGTTGTACGGTGCTTGGTGGTTCTGGCCCTTCAAATCAGCATCGACACGTTCTTTTACCACAAGATCGTGGTGGTGCCCTGGCTTATCGTTGCCTACAATGTCTTTGGCGGCAAGGATCGCGGTCCTGACATATTCGGAACGGAACCATGGGACTACTACCTAAGGAATCTGCTGCTCAACTTCAATATGTGGTTTATCCTTGCTGCGATTTCAGGACCACTCGTCTTGTTCCAGTCCATCATCCTGAACCAATACCCCACCAAACAAACGCTGCTCAGGACGCTGACCTTTCTCTCCCCATTCTATGTGTGGCTGGTCATTTTCACCATTCAGCCCCACAAGGAGGAAAGATTCATGTTTCCTGCGTACCCCTTCCTCGCTTTGAATGCCGCCATCGCATTCCACTCCCTTTTGGCGTGGATCGGATCGACGGACTCGTTCATCTTTGGTAAAATCCCGGCAAAACTAAAACTAGCGGTCATCTTACCCATTGTGCTTCTGGGCATTAATACCGGGCTGTTGCGTATCGTGGGGACGCTGACCGCATATCGGGCTCCATTACAGATATACGACAGTCTCAAAGCATCGAACCTGACCCAGGAAGACAACACAGTCTGCTTCGGCAAGGATTGGTATCGCTTTCCAACCTCGCATTTTCTGCCTAACGATACCCATGCGAAGTTTGTCAAAAGTGAATTCGACGGTCTGCTACCTGGAGAGTTTCACGAGGGCAAGACTGGGTTTGGTTTCTTCCCGGGAACCTGGTTGGTGCCGCCTGGGATGAATGATCGAAATGAGAAAGATCCTGCAAAGTGTGTCGATGTCCAGTACTGCACGTTCTTGGTCGATTCGTACATGCCGGGCATGGAAGCCACCGAGCACGAGCCATTATATGTTCTGGACGAGGATCATTGGGAAAAGATCTCATGCGCACCATTTTTGGATGCGTCAAGGACTGGGACTCTTGCTAGGACGATCTGGATTCCCGAATCACCAGTCATACCACCCCGGTATCGTCGACATTGGGGTGAACACTGCCTGCTGCGGCGAAGAGAGGTATAAATATAGAGACCATGACAAGAAGCGGTACAATTCTGGTATTAATACAGGCAGTCATGCTCGAATACTTGCCTGCGACATTCCAGTTCCAGCAGATCCACGGCCAAGTCCGCGAACCTGGAAATCATGAGGTCGCGGTGGCTTGCCGCACTCCAAACGCCGTCCCTGGGGACAAAGTGCGCCATTCCGAAAGAGGCATATTTGTCCAGTATCGACGATGCGAAGTGATTGGACAGCACCAACCACAGGTCTTGAAATCAGTGGTTATGATAAGAATCCAACTGGACGGCAGATACCCATGCGATATCAGCACCCGTACGTCTAAAGGTCTGGCGTTGTCTGGGGGGCCGGTCAGGAATAGCTTCTGGCCTCTCGGCGGATCAGCACGTCGAATCCAGACATCGATTCCATTCCAAAAGTTCATATACCCTGCCCGAGCATTTGGATTTTGTTTTGAGGGTTTGGAGTCTTCCCTTTCGCTTGCTTGAATCTACAGCGCCAGCCCTCGTTCCGCAAGCCACCGCCATGGAGTCGGAAACACTCAGACACAAGATCTCCGACCTCATCGCTAGGTCACAGCCGTACATTGAGCAAGCGAATGCCCATATCCAGCCATACGTGGAACAAGCCAATGGCCACTTTCAAAAATCCAAACACCATTGCTCTTCGATGTTCAAATCAGCCCAATCAGAGTTGCACGCTTTGTCACAAAAGCCCCATTTCCAAGAAGTCCTCTATGGCCTGACCTTGTTCGTGTTCCTCGCCTTTGCAATCAGCCGTTTCGTCTCTTCCCGCCGCTCTCGGTACCCTACATCTCGCCCATCAACCCCGCCGACACCTCTCCTCGAAAAGGCCACTCATACCAAGGGGCCCAATGCCGCCCAGGCCCGAAAACCAGGGACGTGGATTCCGTCCGACTTTCAACGGCCCAAACCACGAGCATACGAGAACTGGTCCATCGAGCACACCAAACCTCTGCCTTACCGGCCGTTTCGCTACGGACCCAAGTACTTCGTGACCATGGGTCTCCGTAACGTGAAATGGGACAACTGGATCGAGCTGGACAACCACTTCCCACGGTTCCACGCGGACAAGGCGCGCCGAATCAAGGAACGCGGGCACAAGTGCTGCAGGACGGCGCCCGAGGCGTATCCCGCGGCGTTGGAACTCTTGGAGGAATTCCGCTCGTACTTGCCGGACCGCTACCCAACACTGTACCAGCGGACGGAAAAGGGGATAAAGAACCTGTGGTCGGGCGAGGAACTGGACACGACGTCGCGGCCGCTGCCAGAGGACCCGATGCAGACGGCGGCGCGCATGGTGCAGGACGACCTGGCGATCATGCTCGAGGGCGAGGACGGGCAATACTACCTGCTCGCGGGGGCGGTGCTGCTGGCGGGCTTCTGGCGGCTAGAGGACAAGTACCGGATGCCGCTGTCGGAGATCCACACGAGCGGGGACGTGCCGCAGTTCAAGGAGAAGCTGGAGAAGGGGATGATGAACTTCTTCCGGCGACTCAAGCCCGAGGAGCTGGTCGCGCGCAACAACTACTTCCTGCAGGTCGACGACGACCTGGCCTGGTCGTACTCGATCGGCAGCGAGGACAGCCCCTCGATCAGCTGGAACACGGCCGAGAAGAACCGCGCCGTCGAGCACCACTACTTCCGCTCCGAGCGGCAGACGCTGCGCCGCCTCCCGCGCTCCGGCGGCGTCGTCTTCACCATCCGCACCTACTTCCACCCGATCACCGAGATCGCCGAGGAAGACTACGTCCCCGGTCGCCTGGCCAGCGCCGTCCGCAGCTGGGGCGACGACGTCTCCCGCTACAAGGGCAAGGAAAAGTACGAGGCCGTCCTGCTCGAGTTCCTCGACCGGAAGCACCAGGAGCAGCTGGACCGGGGGCTCAAGCTGGACGAGGAGGACGAGAGGAGGAGTTATCCTTGGTGATGGCGACCCACATACCTTGAATGGATATTATATACATATACATTCCTCTCTCTCGATATGAATATATACATAACACGTGTTGAGGTTCGTTTCTGCATGCTGTCCCTCGAAAAAGAAAAGGAATTGACGATACCGAGTTGAATGAATGTCGTCTCGTCGGAAAGAAACCATGCATTGCATATACTGTAGTCTGGTGTGTCCGTAAGTGCACACACACATACCAGATTTGGACCAGCGGGTAGAGTTCCTGGACACCTTCTCCACCAGTGATCACCTCCTACCAGCGCAAGGCTGGAAAAGAGCTGCTCATTGCTCAAACCATAACGGCGCCGCCTATCCTATCGACTCGTCCAGTTTTCTGAGAAGGAGGAATGCACTGTCGAGATATACGCTGTAACCTCTTCTCTCGTTATCAATCACTTGTTACACCCGACTTCTCCTGCCCCTGCTTTCCTCTCCCGGCTCTCCACCCTCGAGCTCCTCCTTCAGCCGCCTACGTTCCCTCGCCTCCCTGACCATGTTCTCATCCCTCTGTCTGATCCAGGCGCATTCGTCCCGAAACTCGCAGACGCGACATTTCCACGCATCGACGACCTCGACGCCGCGCGGCTCCCGCTCTCCCTTCCAGAAAGACAGGGACGAGTAGAGAGAAGACGTGAGGAACGAGGGGTTGAAGAGGATGGATTTGCTGCCCAGCATGTGCGAGTGAACTTCCGCAGTGCTATTCGCGTTTTCACTGCGGTGTTTGTAATTGGTGGAGATGTAACGTGCCGTAAGGATGGGGGAGAGTCGTGTCGGCTGAGACGGCGGCGCAGGGAGGGCGGATAGGGAGGATGGGGGTGGGACATCAGGATCTTGACTTGTGTCAAAGGAGTTGGTCACGCGTGGAACAGACCCCGGCGTCGAACTCGACGGGATAATGAACGTCGATCGGAACTGCTCCATCATAAAATCCCACAGACTAGCAAGGGTGTTGTGCTGGAGAAGGACATCCATAGAGTCCTGCGTTGACGGCGTCGGTTCCTCCCTGACATGGTCACTCTGTTGTGATAATTCAAAGACTTCTTGGTTCAAACCGCCAATCTGCGCGATGAACCCGTCCGAGAATGTCTCGTGTATGTCAAACTTGTATCTCTCTGCCAGTTGAGAGAGGGAGAACTGTCCCTGTGCCATGTTTTCCAGCATGTGGTGGTACAGATGTAGTTGGACTAGGGTCGGCCGAATAGCGGACCCTGTCGGTAAAGTGGGAGTGCCTCGTGTCTTGACATCGATGATATAGACCTTCCTCTCGTCATTCTGCTCTGACTTGCGCATCCTCCGGGCAGTAGGACTGCCACTGGCTTTTTGGGTGATATCGGCTTCGTCCCCCTTCAGAGCCTGTGACAGAGACTGACCTTCATCCCGGATCTCGTTTGTGACAAGGTAGTCCCTTATACTGGCCTGGTATTCTGGTAGCGGAGGTTCTGTATTCTTCTTTTCTAGCAGATTTCGACTCATCTCCTCGAGCTTGGGGTCAGGACACTCGTAAGTCAACTCGTCAATGACTCCGTTGACGATCTGTCCGCCTATTGATCCCCAGACCTCCAACTCGCGCGTCATTCCTTGTTCCCTGAGTGTTTTCAACCCTTGGATGATGTTCCATATTCGAAGACCCCAACTATCTTCTCTTTTCGTAATCTCCACGGGAACCGTGGCGTGTATCTCGTCTTCCAGCGCTTGGTGGACAGCACTACCCTGTTTCATTGCCGGTGTCCTCCTTTTTCGCCCGTGTTTCGTCAAGACATAGTAATATTGTAGCTCGCACCATGCGGGAGATATTAGATCGGTGACGGAGAGGGCTTTCATGGGAGGTTTGCGGAACCGTTCCAGTGGGGAACGAGCGTCTGACTCGGGAGGTTGCTGCTCCTGCTGAGCATCTTGTTTGGGTTGCGTGCGTCGTGGAGATGTCCCTCTTCCCGTTCTCACATCCTCTTCAGCGACAGGAGACAGTCTTTGCGAAGCTGGGTGCTGGTCAGCTTGTCAGCGGCCAAAAGTATTGGGGGGTAGTTTTGTACAGAACTGACTGCTTTGGTGGCATACGTTCTGGACAGGGACACTGGTAACTGAGCGAGGCTCAAGTTCCCATTGATGCGTAGCTTCGAGGCCAGACACCTTAGGCAGACGAATACCTCGAGGTGCTTCATAGTCTTCGATATCTGTCACGACCAGGGGCTCGATTTCCTGCTCCGGCCTCGATTTGCCTGCGGCCTCGAGGAGGAGTCGGTCAATGATCTCGAGCGCTTCAAGATCTTCCCCAAAGTCGCTGTACTCGTCCGTGTCCTCATCATTCGGTGGCGAGCCTGGCCCGGTCCTCGTGTTTACCAGATCGAATTGCATCAATACATTGTGACGTTGGGTCGACATTGTCGGGGTTTGAATGGGGCCTGGAAGCAGGTTTGTAGCCGTCATGATTCATTAACCACCAGCGACGACTCGGACAACGTGAAGGCAAAGCTGCAAACTTGTCCCGTCCCATCTTCAAATCTTAACATGACAGCCGTCTGCCTCGATATATTACTTGTTTGTTCCAACTTCAGGCCGCTTCATGTCGAAGGCCCGTCTGCCTAGCAGCGTCCTCGGAGGCGCGCTTTGGGGCTGCTCCCCACGCGTCGCGGGGCTAGACACGACACCCAATCGATAGGTTATTGGCATAGTTTTATTCTGTATTCTATGATCTAGCCCGCCATTGCTGCCTGTACGCTCTCTATCCTGGAACACGGCCTGACCAATGCACCAATGCCACAGATATTTCCGCGATAGAATGGCATCCGTGAAACGAGCTAGCCAGCCTTCCCCTGGACACAGCAGATGTCTTCTTTCCAATAGATGCTCTGCAGGCTGCTCCGAGTCATTCAAGCGCCGAACTGTACACCTGGACCATCCGTGTTCACTTCGTCAACATGCTCTCCTTCAGCACTGGCCTGCTCAGCGTATCAATCTGCGCTTCAATCTTCTCTTCCGTCCGGTTGAGAAAACTCAGATAGCACTGCCACGCAACGGCAAAGATCCCGGAGAACATGAAGCGGTATTGAGGCGGAACAAAGGCAAAAGAGAAGGCGGTCACCGCAGGCCATAATTTCAGAGAATTGAGCATGCTGATTGGCACCGCAGCTTGAATGCGCATAATGATGCCCATCGTGTGCTCGCCGGTCAGCAGGGCTTGCATGCCGAAAAAGTATGTGTTGAATACAGGAGTGAAAACAACTTGGTTTACAGCAACCTTTGTCGCGATGGAAGCGATTTTCGAGGGGTAGTTGAAACTCTGGCCCAGGAAGAGGAACCTGAACATCTCTGCTGTTAGCGCTCGCGTCTCCCTTGTTTTTCACCTTACATGCTCTGCTGGCGACCAACTGACGGTGTCTGGCCGTCAGGGCTGAATTTCATACCATTTGTAACCCGGTATCGCCGCGAGGGCTCCAATCGTCAACATCCTCAGCGTCCGCCATGGGTTGTACGGTTCCCCTCCTATGTCTTGCGCCAGAATATCACCGCAAAGGTAGGTTGTCAGGGTCGTGCATAGTTGCACAGTATAAGGCCTCTTCAACTGGGTGCGGTGGAACCATTGAAAGAATGTAGAAACCGGTCCCAGACGGTGATACCACAGTTGGATCGGGATATCGACGGGGTCGACGGGCTTCGCAGTCTCGCCGACGGGAACTTGATGAAGCGAGTGAGGAGGGATTGTATTTTGTGACGTTGGTCGAGGGCTCGTTGTGTCTTTCACAGGGCCAGAATTGGTTGAGTGCGACGAGTTTCTCTGCGCATGATGGTTGAGTCGGGCTCTCGCGCCCGACACTCGCACCCGAAACGACGTCGATCTGGCACTAGATTTGAGCGCTGCCCAATGCAAAGGGTGCATTATTGACGAAATGCCATTATGGATAGAATTGTCAGCCGTCCGACCAGGAATATTTCTCTCTGCAAACACAACTGCAAAACTAAATTCCTCTACTGAAGGGCAAATTTTGCCGTGGTCGCCTTGGGGCCCACTGGTTGCGTGCCCGGATGACACCCGCCTGCAGCCCCCCGATGCAAGCCAAAATAGGCGCTCGTACCCCTGGATCGTCGCCTGGTGAGCCCCAAGCAGATAGCTTGCAGCAAACTCGGATCTCGAACGCCCCATGCCAGCTCGCAACAGGCAGAACAGCAAAAATCAAAATGTCCTGAGATGGGAAATTGAAATTACAAGTTTGTTTTCGTGTTAACCTGAATTGCATTCAGATTCTATCTGGTTGATGCAGCGCGTTCTGCTGGTTCCATGTCATAGTCATGATGACTGGTATGATGCTGCGTGATGTACAAGCACGAGCAGAAGCAGAAGACGCCAGAAGTCCCCGTAACCACCCGTGATCAATGTTGTAAAAACCAATACAAGCCCCTATGAATTCATTCCGTTTCGCCTTGTGTCAACTCATGAAACCCCCCGTACTCAAATCATGACCATGATCAACGCTCCCAACCTGCCAGGTGACTATCGATTGAGATGTTGCAAGTTTCAACCCATCATCTAGGATCGCTCACCACGGAGACGGCGGGCAAGTTGGATGTCCTTGGATTGGATGGTGACACGCTTGGCGTGGATGGCGCACAGGTTGGTGTCCTCAAAGAGAGAGACGAGGTAAGCCTCAACGGACTCTTGGAGAGCGCCGATGGCGGATGACTGGAAGCGAAGATCGGACTTGAAGTCTTGAGCGATCTCACGGACCAAACGTTGGAAGGGAAGTTTGCTGTTCATGTTATTAGCTGATGTTTCTTCCAAAGCAGCAGTGACGATGACATACCGGATAAGCAACTCAGTGGACTTCTGGTAACGACGGATCTCACGGAGAGCGACGGTACCAGGCTTGTATCTGTGAGGCTTCTTGACACCTCCAGTGCTGGGTGCGGACTTGCGAGCTGCCTTGGAGGCGAGCTGCTTTCTTGGGGCCTTGCCACCTAGAGATCGAGTCAGCGATGATTTGGTGGCGATGAGATGAAAGCACTTACCAGTGGACTTGCGGGCAGTTTGCTTGGTACGAGCCATTGCGATGGATGGATTTGATGATGAATTGAAAGTGTTGTTGATGGAATGGAAGATTTGCGGAAAACTGGAGATGATGAGTGAGGCTGGATGGGGAAGAAAAGCTAAGTGGACAAGGTGGGTGGGAGCGAGGTATTTGTAGTGAGGAAGGGTTGAAAGGCAGACGCTTGGCGTGATCTGATGTGCGGTTGTGGGATGATTTCACCAACACGGAGCCAAATGACTCAAGGGCAGCGGCGGCAAGTGATTGCAGACCAAAAAACAAAGTGATCAGATCAGGGCTGCCAAAACCCCCATGATTCTGCTGGCAATTTTGCTGGTGATTCAGAACTCTGCCAAAATTGGCGTCTGATCCCGCCGCTTGGCATACCACATCAAGATCTGGACCATGGCCCTGCACCACTGCACACCCCCGCAATCACGCTCAACACTGGATAGTAATTGATGCATTTTGGATAAACTTGATCGCTAGGTGATACTGTCACGACCTATCTGAAAGATCAATTGATTCATGTGGCTGTGGTTGAGAGATCAGTCAATCAGTACCGCAGCAAGGTCAAGTGGGCGGGTGAGTGCAGTTCTCAGATCTGAATTCTGATTGGTTGTGATCCGAACTGCGCCGGGTTGATCTCAAGGGTGCGCAACAGGCACTGCCGGGGTGCATAAGTCTCCCCCCACCCGTCGCCTTTTCCAACCAAGTCTTACTCTCTCATCTCATCCATTCAACCATCGCAGCCTTCACAGCAATCTTCTTGCAACAACTCATACCACACCTTCCATTCTCTTAAACAACTTCATCCCTTCATCAAAATGACTGGACGTGGCAAAGGCGGCAAGGGCCTCGGCAAGGGTGGTGCTAAACGCCACCGAAAGATTCTTCGTGACAACATCCAAGGTATCACCAAGCCCGCTATTCGACGTCTCGCCCGTCGTGGTGGTGTCAAGCGTATCTCAGCCATGATCTACGAAGAGACCCGTGGTGTCCTCAAGACCTTCCTGGAAGGTGTTATCCGTGATGCTGTCACATACACTGAACAGTGAGTACTTCCTGTGAAGCATTCGATATCAACTTTGTACTAACAATCTTGCAGCGCCAAACGAAAGACTGTCACCTCATTGGATGTTGTCTACGCCCTCAAGAGACAAGGCCGCACTCTCTACGGTTCGTCAATCTTGCGTCTTCTACTCTTAGGCAATTGCTAATTGATATTCAGGCTTCGGTGGTTAAACACTTCACCAGTCATACTCTTGCTTATTACGACATCTTGCCTCGGGTTTTCGTGTCTGTCACGGTTCATGGCACGTCACCCGATCCTTTTCTTTGAGTTTCGGAGTGGTTGGGCATTCACATGGGTTTTTGATCAATGGGGTTGTGCAAGGGTCATGGTTATGATGGGATGGCAAATCAATCAGTGCTGCCTTCAGTGCAATGATGTATCATACAGGCACAATACGAGCAGCCTGCTTCGGCGTTGACAGATGGGCTGAGCCGCGACATAAGCATCAGCACCCAGAAATGAAATAAAGACTTCAAATAATTGTGCTCCGAGTATTCCAGTCGCTGTTTTTGTTCTGGTCTTTCGTCGCGTCGCGTTCAGGCGCGTGGTTATCGTGATTCATTGATGATTTCCGACCGATCTCGCCGGGGATTCCGGTGTCGCGAGTTCAAGGACTTTGAACATTCGAAAGCTCTTCTGACCTTAGGCTGTTAGGGTATTTCGATCTAGGCAGCAGTCATCCTTTTGAAAAGTTCGGCTCTCTACAGTATGTCTTCGATTATTCGATTCGGTGTTACTGGTTTATTTGTAAATGGTATTCACATAGGTGACTCAATTGAGAGCCCCTCCATATTTTATGTAATGAGTTGCCTCTTTCCACGATGGGCTGCTCAACGCACCATCTCTTGCGCGTCACTGGGGGAGTCACCAGCCGAGACTTGAAGATCAGTGTCTTTCGAAGCCTGGGTAAGTAGGTCTAGTGAAGCGGCTTGACAGACGTGGCGGTTGGTTGTCGCGGCAATCTGCCCTATTTGCCCCTTTCACGGACTCGTCGTTGGCGGAGGCACATCTGTGGCCTGGCTGACTCATCTTGAGTATGGAAATGTTGATGGCGCTGAGCAGAGCTGGCACATGTGTTCACCTGGGGCTTGGATACTCGTTGCCTGCGCATTTCTCGTTTCGAGGATCAATGCTTCTGCCAGGAACCCGGATACAAGTTCGCCCTTGAATGAATGTCAGCCAGGGGCTTTTGTCTCGTATACATCCTAGGAGGCACCAGGCGCCCACCATGGTCAGGAGGATTTGAGCTTCAATATCTTTGTTGGGGCTGGTTGTACTCGGCGGCGTTTTTGTCGCGCACCTCCACGAATAGATCCATTCCGGCGTTGTAACTATATTATTCCACTTCTGCGTACGTTCACACCCTCCCGTTCGATCTCCAAGCTCGCAGAGTCCTCGTGTTTTCTTGGAGCCCTGCTGTCATTAACCCGTTACTGCGATCTTCGCGGAGACTTGTGCGACTGTTGGGCACCTGCGGGTCCATGACCTTCATGACTTTGGCATTCGGCGGAATGTCACTCTGGGTTTCAAAGCCTGCCCTTAGATGGCTTTTGCCAGTTGCCAGCGCAAGAACACATGATAATCAAATACGAGCGAGACCACTTTCATAGCATCGAGAAGTATTGTGAGGGTGTCTTGGTGAGGTGTGTGGTGTTGGCGTTGGAACATGTGAGCGTCACCGAGTTTATTTTCTCGATTTGGAAAATTAAATTCTACCAAAAGTCCAAGCAACGTTAGCCCACACCATCCACATATTCACAGCCTCAACACACCCCAAAGGTATCCTAGACCAGGAGAAAGTGCACCTCGATAAGCTGTGAAAAATCCAAATGACAGAGACAGATTGTATCCAAATACCCGCAGGGGAAAGTCCAGCTGCAACGCCCCGCGTTTCTCTCGTCCAGCCCGTCACGTCCAACGCACCCTAGACCCAGGCTGGTAAAGTCCGCAGTCTCTCACTCACTACGATGGACGAACCTCCGAATCACGGGATTCTGGTGCATGGCCAATGGTGCACCGAAGAGAGTATCTGTCGCATGGCCAGTTTACCCACGTCGACGGCGGGTTGTGGCAACAGCCTTTTGCAAGGCGGCGAACACTATACTCCTGCAGACTAGACTCTGCCACCTACAATTGCGGGGGTGGCAAGCGTCCACTTCTTCCGGGATACACTGGGGTCTCGGCAGAAGACGTACAGTTCGACGTTACATGGGAGCATGGTGCAGAAGGGTGTTGATAAAGATCAACCCAGTGACGAATACGTCGTCCTTCAAGTTGGCGCAGGAAAAGGAGCAGTTTGCTCAAGGTCATAAGGACTTCTCCCTTCATCAGGTGAAAATTGCGATGCGCTTTCAAGGATCCCCAAACGGCCGAGAATGATAGCGGGTCATTCCAAACCCAACCACACGATAGGTACTTCAACAAACTGCCTGTACAGTCGCCCCTTGAGAACTTCCCAGGTCGCGGTCCGGTATCGAGGCCTCGATACAACGCAAACCAGGCGATGCGGACACAATACCTGACTACCGAGGAAGGCTGGTGTTGTTCCTAAGACAAGGAAGCCACCAGCTCCACGAGCGAGCTGACTAGACCATGCCAGCTGCCGATATACCCAGACGCCAGCCAATGCTGCGAGCCTGTCACCAGCACTACAAAATCGAGGCACACAGGACGCTCGCTGTTGCTGGAGCGGTGAGTGACAATGCAGGATGTGTTCAGCTAAGGTTCGGCAGGACTTTTCGGATGTTTCATCACCAGGAGGGTATGGCAGGTTTGTTTAGGGTATGGATGACTCGTCCTTGTAGAACACAGCTAGTGTCTTTCAAGGAGTATACTGCTGATCCTGGCAAAATTACATTTCACCTTCCTCTTTAGCGACAACCCAGGACTTCCATGGAACCGTACGAGCTGCGGTGTTCAGTGATACTGCCGCATGGATGAACTGGCGGCTTCTGGGGAAGAGCCCTGTGTTCGTATCCATCAGCTTACGCGGATCACCAATGATCTCGAAGACGACTCGCTGCAGTGCGTCGACGAGAAATGCATCTGCGAAGAGAAAACTGAGAAGGCTGGCGGGTGTACTTTCCCCAAACGGCATGCCTTACCCAACCCACCGGACGACGGAAAACCACAACAAAAATATACGAGGATCTTTCAGGTAGACCTGGGTTATTGCGGGGGATTCCGCCACGTGGGTCGGAAGCCTTGTGGAGGGCCAAGATGTGCCACATTTCCGCAGCATATTCAGCTGTGTTGTCTGTGAGAGGATCTACGCTGCTAGAGGCACCAGAGGTGACAAATGATGCTCAGCCATTTTCCTCGGAAGAAGCAGCAAATGTGGCGGTGCGGGTCCTTGGTGGTCGATCACAGCTCCACAAGCGGACAAGCAGCTGAACCCAGGTCGCTGGACAAATGCTATTCGGTCGCTTGTAGGGTCACCAGCCACACCAATACATTCTGCATGTCCGAGAAACCTGCGGTGTCTCAACCGACACATGGCATTTACATTACCAAATGGGTCAACGGGAACGCCGACAGGTGACACAAAAGCCCAGACTGATAATCTACAAGAACGGTAATAATGGCAGATTGATATTGTGGCTTGGCCAGAGGACAGATCAACGAAGCTTTCCACTGAAATTCTCTGAAGATCCAGCCAACCATTGGCAGGATGGGTAAAAGCCTTGCCCAAGAAGGGAAAAATGAGCGGCATATGCCTTCCCCATGCAGGTTAGGGTGGTGAGAATCTTGCACGAGCCCAGCCTGACATGGCCCTTATTGGCTTTGGCCCGATGCCAGCCGAGCATTGCCCTCAGCACCAATCAGGCTGCTTAGTTCAGCCAACAGAGTTTTCATTGCAGCTGCTCGATCGGAATCTGGACCGTAGGACCGCAGGACAGCCGGAACCGCGACACGCTTAGACGCAAGTCGACCCCATTCCTAGGG